CCCTAATGATTTATTAAATGATAAAAGCTTGTTCCAGTCTAATATATTATTTGAAAAATTAATAGGATTATACAGAGACAGAAAGGAATGATAAAGGAAGCCGGGGGTACAAAGACTTGTTTATAATTGATTTTCCTTTATAATAATAGGAGTAAAATGACTACACAGTATGGTTTCTAAAGTCCATAGTGGAAGTGATGTTTATTTACAACAAATTAATAAACATAGCAATCACATGGCATATAATTAACACATGACAGCTGCTTCTAACTTAGTACCAAGAAGGCAATGAGGAACAAGATTATAAATAAATTCCAACACCCCTCCTTAATCTTGATCCTTCATTGGGGTAAGACCAAGGTCGGTCATAAAACCATCATGCTTGATTTTGCCAAGTGATTTTGTCAAAATGTCCGCTACCATCTTGGAAGTTGGAACGTAATTCAGCACAACTAGTTTTCTTCTGACAAATAACTGTTTACGAATTATATGTTTGGTCTTGGTATTCACGGTTCTCTTCTGCAAAATCTTCATTGCTGGCATGTTGTCACAATGCAAATTTACATGCTCAAAATGTTTCTGAACCATTGCTACAAACTCTGACTCTGTTGAGGAATCAGGCATACATCTCTGTTTCTTACTTCCCCAAGACACAGGTCCTTCACTCAGTTTAAAAACATGTCCCGTACAACTTTTCCCATCGAAGTAGTTTCCATGACTGGCATCAACAAAACCATGTAGAGGTTCTTCATCAGCTTGCTCCTCCACAGCATGCTTCCACAAATTCTTATTCGGATCTTCTATTGCCTCTTGATAACTACTTGGCTCTAGATCCTCACAGGTAACCATGTAGGTAACAAAATCAGGAAACATTTTAGGTTTTCTTAATCTTAGAGGGTACCTACTCCCAACATTGATTTCAACAACTTCCTCATCATTTCCCGAATCCCCTTCAGCGGATCCTCCAGTTCCAACACCGTCACCATCTTGCTCAATGTTGATATTATCAAGAATGAAGCTTTCCTCTTCTGCCTCAGGATTCCTGCAGGGTTCATCGAGTTTGGCGGTCTGGATGCTTACTATGGTCTCGACTGGTTGTATAGTTTCATCACCATTATTTTCTTCACGCCCATTATAAAATAAGTTATCAAAAAACTTTACATCTCTAGAATAAATCAATCTACGGGGAGACTTAGGATCGACCAATTTGTAACCTTTGACATCCTCACTGTAACCTACAAAAATGTGAGGAACACTCTTATAGTCCAATTTGGTCCTTCTCTCCTTAGGCACATGCACATAGTCTATGCACCCGAAAACTCTAAGGTGACTGAGGTCCACTTTCGATCCAGTCCATTTCTCCTGTGGTGTGACTCCAAAAACAGCTTTTGTAGGACTTCGGTTCTTAAGATAAATAGCTGCCTCCACAGCATACTGCCAGTAACCCTTGCTCAAATTTGAGTCACTTAGCATGCTTCTAGCTTTTTCAATAATAGTTCTATTTGCACGTTCTGCTACCCCATTCTGCTCAGGACTATATCGAGTAGTAACCTGGTGCCTTATTCCAAATCTATTACACACTTCTTCTAGTCTCGCATTCATGCTAACATGATTCAAGTGACCCAACCTTCTGTGCCATAAATTGTGAAGGTCCACATTAACTGACTGGTAAACTTGAGTAGACATAGCTAAATTTCCATCATTTGGATCAATGTTGCATTTACTCTCTGTATCCAACTGATACAGTCCGTCTACATTTGTTCCAGTTCCACAGATTTCACCTCTTACTGAAAACCCATCTTTTAAGTAAATATTACACCCTTTGTCATCAAAAACTAAAACTTGCCCTTTACTAGCTATTTTGCTCACAGATAGCAAATTTGTAGATAAATCTGGTACATACGTCACATTTGATATCACTCTCTCACCAAAGTTTTTAAGATTCACAGAAACTTTCCCAGAACCCGCAGAGTAAATTTTTGTATTATTAGCGACAGTGACCTCTTTAACTCCCTCATTCGAGTTAAACGTTTGAAAACTTTCTTTACTTTTAGAAAGATTGTCAGAACAACACGAGTCTAAGTACCAGCTTTCAGGTTCTACCTTTACATTCAGAGCAGTTATCCAGCCTACATTTTTATTTTTGTTTTGACCATCTGACTTACCAATTTTGGAAAATGACCCTATCTTTGAGCTATTACGAATATTAGCTTGATTATTTTCAGGACAATCCCTTATCATATGGCCTGCCTTTCTACATTTGTAACAAGTAGGAATAAAAGGCTTCCTCATCTTTGAGCTTTTATTAGAATTAGCTTGAGTATTTGATTTTGATAGAAAAGGCTTCCCAGTACTGCTTTTAAAAGTTGAAAATACTACAGAGGACTCAATTGTATCCTTTTCAGCCATGCTATTTAATTTTTCTAGTACTTTACTATATTCTACTTTATCTGTACTCTCGACTGCCATCCTAAATGCCCTGTAAGACTCAGGCAAACCTCTTAGAAGTAGACACGCCTTCATTTCATCATCCACGGGTTTCTCTATGTCAGCAAGTTGAGCATTGAGGTCAAGAAATTTAGAAATATACTCACTCATGCTGTTGCATACTTCCAACTTTAAATCTAAAAGCTGGTCCAGCAGAAATATTCTCCTGTTTGTGCTCTTGACTTCATACTGCTTTGCTAAAATGTCCCATGCTTCCTTCGCTGATGTGGCCGTCCTGACATGTAGTTTTGGAGCTGCCTCCAGGTGCATGGCAATCTTGGCGAGTGCCCTCTCATCTTTGTCTGGATCCACAGTTAGGGGTGTCGTCTCTGCAGTAGTCCTTCGTGGTTCAATGCAATTCCACAATCCCTCATACTTTAGAGCCAACTTCATATCAAATTTCCAACTTGCATAGTTGGCTGACCCTTTCAACTTAGAAATTCCAGGGGCTAATGTGGTGTATTCAACTTTGTCTCCCATCATAAAAGCTGTCTTTCACATATATAAGTGTTCATTCAATGAAATTTACTATAATATTTCTTAAACACTTCCCTCAAAAATTAAACTGTTCAAAATAGGCCACAGAGCAACATGTTACAGTAATAGTGAAACTGGGCCCATAACCACTTGTTTATAATTGATTTTCCTTTATAATAATAGGAGTAAAATGACTACACAGTATGGTTTCTAAAGTCCATAGTGGAAGTGATGTTTATTTACAACAAATTAATAAACATAGCAATCACATGGCATATAATTAACACATGACAGCTGCTTCTAACTTAGTACCAAGAAGGCAATGAGGAACAAGATTATAAATAAATTCCAACACAAAGTACAACTACTAGGACAAGATAACCTCCAGTTGAGACTCGACATTGAAAATGCATGCATTGCTTCACTTTTGTCTCTTGTTTTTAATTAGTAGGCCTACTGTAAATAGTTTTTCGTGTTTATTAAATGTTTTGTAACTGTGTTTTAAAACTGTGACGTGACATCATGAGTCAAAAAACTTCAAGTTTGTATATGGATCTGATGATGGTATAACAAATACCGAAACGCGTAATCCTGTTGGATATTTAAGGACCACTAAAGGCAGTCTGCAGGTATTGTAACCTTCTTATTTTGATTTGCATGAAGTGGCCTAGAAAAACAACTAGAACATGAAATAAAAAAATGTTATGCTGATGTTTTTTAAAAAAAGATTGTAAATATTCTTGCCTATTATCACTATTTTTGTATTTAAACAGTCATCTAACAATGTTACAAAATCAGGTAAAAATTTTGAACGTGCATTTCCCGTTGTGTATGAGAAGGGAAATCCCGTCTCGATCTCGTCTCGAAATTTCATGAGAAATAAAAAATCTCGTCTTGTCTCGTCTTGAACTAAAAATCCAATCTCGTCCATCCCTAAATAATATTGTAAATATTTTGTACAGGGATCATAATATTATGTTATGTCTGTTTTTTTTTTTTGCGAAATAAATGATATTTTGATTTGATTTGATTTGATACCGACGGTCGCGCCGTGACCGCGGAGTCACACCGACGGTCACCCAGTGACCGCGAGTCATCCTGACAATGGTGCCGTGACCGCGGAGTCATAACGACGGTCACCCCGTCACCGCGAGTCATACCGACGATTGCGCCGTGACCGCAGAGTCATACCGACGATCGTGCCGTGACCGCGGAGTCATACCGATGATCGCGCCGTGATCGTGAGTCATACCGACGATGACGCCGTGACCGCGAGTCACATGTTTCTATAGGTACCTGTAAATTGTTGTAACCAAACCATTTTTTGGTATTTATAGATAGTGCCACAAACAGTAAAAATTGATTTCGTTTGTCTTTTTTGGTAACTGCAATACTGAAGATTTTTTTTTATGCACAGGAAAAAATCCCGTCCCGTCCCGTCCCAAAAATTGGGAAGGAAATCAAAATCCCGTCCCAACTGAAAATTCAATCCCGTCCATCCCTACCACCTACCGCTACTTTAACACTTTGAAGTGCTACATTTATGATCAAACTTTGCAGATTCTTCATAGGGCTCTATGTAATGAAGATTTTCTCAGATTGTGCAGCTGTTGATTTTTGCCTACCACTGAGATAAACTTTTATGGACTTCAGTATGGCTATTTTGAATAGTAATAGATTGCATCTGGGTGTTATCGATTTCCCACAGTGCCACAGATGTCATCTACTAGTATTTCTTTACCATAAATTAATTATTCTTGGTGATTAAAATTTGGTTTATTTCAAAGAGCTGGGATCTTAGATAACAACTGCTGGAATTTTTAGTTTCAGGCTTTATTGACACACTATTGCATACAAAGTAGAAGAATCCCAATGTGCATGCTTCTAGAACTGGACGCTCACTTTAGTGAAAGAATAAGAATCCTGTGATACTACATGCTACGTAATTGTCACATCTACTGCCATGACAGTACAACATGTCCGTTCCTTGGACCTGTGGACGGGTTTTTTTAACAGTCTTCTACTCTGTTGAGCAGATATGGTAACAGAGGACACAACCAGCCGTGCACCCATCATGGGACTGACCGCTGTTTCATGACCTCCCAGAACCACGGGTTTGCTGTCAGTTGTGAGAATATGCCTCCTGGATGGGCTCCTCTGTTCACCAACCGCAACGACCACACCAACGAAGGAATATTCCACACTTCTCTGCCATTCTTCAGGTAGGCCTACTTGCTATTGCTTTAACGTGATGCCCTTCAGATGTTAACTAGGGATTTCTTCACACCTTTTTAAAACTGGATTACCTAGTCTGATTGTGATAGCATATTTTCCCCCTGAATGTAATACAATAGGACATCAACAACTTGAACCTTGACATCTCAAATCTATCTATCTATATATTAATAGGCAAGCATGTTTCTTTAAAACCTTTTTTCTCAGCTCGTGTGCATCGTAGGGAAAATCTACGCATACTGTTAGAAAGCTATTTTCCTGTAGGTGTGCAGAATCCCTTTATAAATTAAAATAGGCTCAAAAATAAGCACAAAAAATGAATTTAAAATTTTGAAAATTTTAACATGGATATTATGAGTTGCCATGCTGGTGACGAAATAACAACGAAATATAAACAGAAAATCAAAACAAATGAAGGAAACTCCAATCACATGTTCTATTCAAAGTGTGAAATGAAAATAAAGAAGTCTGTACATTAAATATTTTTGGTCGAGTTTCGACCACTGGACGACCTCTAGTACTTATTTAATACGCAAGCAGGTTTTTTGTGACAATTACTCCTCCGAAACTACTGAACCGATTGACATGTTTTTGGTGTCATTGGAAAGAGCGTAACGTGAAGTTGTGCAGGAAACTTTCTTTTTAGGGAAATAATTAAAGAGTTAGGCCCTAGGGCCCTTTAAAGTTTCGTATTTCTCCATAAGGATAACATGGGAGATAATTTTTATTTACAGAAACATATGTTTGTTACTTGAAAATAGTCAAAGTCTACTACATAATAATTGCTGAGTATTATGACTGTTAATGTATATTACATTTCAATCAAGGATTGTGTACCTTAAAGTTTACTCATAATGGATGTTACTACTTTATTTTAATGCTGGGAATGGTAAAATTCAGTTGAGAATAAGTTACCATGATTTATAAAACTTTAATATAATAATGTATGTATTTAAAATCACAAATCTTTGACATTATTTATTCATTAGATACGAAACAGCTGATAGAGAAATCAAACAAATAATCTACTTCATGTGAATAATGTTTTTACACAAACATAGTTTTTTTTACCAATAACTTGATTCTTTTTTACTTGTGGGTGTATTTTGAGTTTGCAGTTATGAAAGCACCAAGCCAAGTAACTTTTATCTAATTTTCTTTATAAACTAACAGTATTAATGAATTACTACATGAACTTGACAAATCGGGTAATTAATTGTCAGTATGCCAAGGGGAAGAAGAGTGGGTTCTCGAAAACAGACGAAGGCGGAGACACCCATCTAGAAAATCCAACTGAGTGTTTTTAATATAGAGGTCAGTGGATTGCCAAGACACAGATTAGACTAAAAAAAGGGGCAGTGGTTTTATCGATGATGAATATTAAATACATCAAAAAGGGCCTCTTAAATGGCACAATGCTTCATATGATCAGAACGGTTAACAGCTTAATACAATGTAAGTTCTTAACTGGAACAAGTGAGTGGGGATAAATTTTGATTTCGAGGATAAAAATGAGCCCGTCTGAAACAAACTTACCTTTTAAAATGGAAAGATGCTAATTTCTGTTATCTTTGGCATTTGCAGCACAAGCATTTTAATTAAAGAGCAGCATGGTTCTACCCAGACCAATGTCAGTCTTGAGCAACTATATTATATGTTGTTTTAAGTAAGGCTACATCTTTTAATAGGATACGCATATTCATTACAGAAAACTCTGACCAGGGTAATCTTCCTGAAGGTAACTTTAAGACTAAAATCGTAGTACGGTATTCATGAAAGTGCTTTTGTGATAAAAATATTGTTTTTTTAGTGTTTATTTTTAAAAGTGTGTTTTCTTCAAGCAGCATTTTTATGACCCTCAAAATATGCTATATGGGCCTATTGGTTTGATATAAAATGTTTTGTTAATTGTGTTTTAAAAATCTAAAAAAAACTACACTATAACCTTGCTCGCTGCCTATAACATACTAGAACTTGAACACTTATTAATTTACTAAATATAATACACATACAGCTAGAAAATGGCTGGACTGCTTCCCTTCTACTGTATTTAATTTTCGACGTCAAGTCAATATACAACACGACGAATTTGTTTTCTAAATTCCTATGTTATTTTGCGGGGCATTGAGCCGCACAGGTTCACTAGTTTTTCTTAATTCCCTTGAAGCCCAGTAAATCAAAATGTTAAAAATACCATTTTGTAAGAAGAAGGTTATAAATATTTAACCTTGATAAGTCTAATTTTGACGTTTTGTGATCTGTAATACAAAGGTTATAGCACTTAACCTCTAATACTTGAAGTTTCTCATTGACAAGCCTCAATAACTCGAAGTTTGCCTTTATAAGTCAAAGTTGTCAATGTTGTCATGGTGGGCCTCAATTACTAAACTCTTTATGCCGTGGGCCTAGTGTGCAAGTTACTTTTTTTATTCTTGTTCAAATGTGAAAATCCATTTTGTTTTTTTGGCTGGTTCTGTTATGCCAGCCTTTTAGTTATTGATATTATTTTGTGTGTGTCAGACCTAACGTTGTCAGTTACACGTGAATGTTAAGTGTTGCCATACTAAAAAAATAATGACTAAAGAAAAAAGTCAAAATCGTTTGGAAATGTGGAATTCTGTGATTTAGAAAACTGTGAAATGATGAAGCTGAAGGTGGAATTAAGTATTATGTTTTACCTAAATTACTGTTGCGATAGAACGAGAATTCAGTACTGTTTGTGCCCAAATAATTGTTGTTTTGTTTTTATATAGTACCTACCATATTTAAAACAAACAAGTAACTTATCCTAAATTACTATCGCTGCGTATTAAATACTGTAGGCTACTGTGTATTGAAATAAATAGTTTTTTCATGCTTCTACAGTTTACTCTTTAATACGTATAAATAGCTTGAGCTAGAGTTTTAAAGGTTTAGCATGTAAATTTTGAGTTATCTCAACGTAACATCATTGTCAGAATTTAATACCTCTGACCTCAGCATCTCATTTTTTTTTTATTATATACCATGATAACTCAAACCTCGTTTGTCGTTTACACAAAAAACCTGAAAACTAAAATTTGTTGTTTATTCTTACCAATACAGCTTAGAAATATTGAGGGCCTACACTACCAGCTACCTTTATTTGTATAATTAATTTGTAGTCCAATAGAGATGCACGCCCTAAAAGTGAAATAATATGACAATGTTATTTGGTAGGCTATAGCTTTAAATTTATATGTCCTGAAGATGAAAAATATGAAATGTTGGTATTTTGTTTAATTAAGTGTAAACTCTATAATACAAATTGCATATAATCTATATATTAATTTGAAACTGATTTTCTTTGTATCAACTAATTTGAGAGAACGGCTGGGCATAGAAACTCAGTAGGGATGGCTAAAGAAAGGTCTTGGTCTGTAGATGAGCCATCAAAAGAGAAATGAGGTAAATTCCCTTGGTGCTCTGCCCCAGTAGCCTTTAAAATTCCATTCCCGTGTTATTCTTATGGACGGTAAAACGAGGATTTTGTCACAGCTAATTTGAGAGAACGGCTGGGCGTAGAAACTTGGTAGGTGTGTCTCAAGAAAGCTCTTGGTCTGTAGATAGCCATCAAAAGAGAGACGTGGTAAATTCCCTTGGGGCTTTGCCCACAGAGGCCTTTAAAGTTCCCTTCCCAAATTTGTTTAGCCTACATTATAGGGATGGCCATGGATAATTTTACACTACTTTTTTAATGACATAGCTGATAATATTTATATTGTATTTTAAACAACATGTTATTAGGGACTTTGTCAAGAAGTGTTTGCAATGTTTTTTTCTGATTTTAAAATTGATTTTCTTCTGCATCGTGTCATGTTTTGCAATATAATGTTCTATTACAAAATCAGTGGAAAATCTTAATATCACAGTAACTCTTAAAATTATTTCTTATTGATTTGACTTTTCTATTGCATGGTTTGGTTTCTGCCTTTTTTTTACCACTTTTGCATATATTTTATCATTTCAAGAAAGATCATCATAGATTCATGAGATTATTGTCATGTTTTCGATAATTGGAACATTTTTATTGTGTAATACGATAAAAAATTATACAAGTGTAGAAGAGCACGTTGACAATATGAGTGGTGTGCATATTTTGGAAAATTAATAGTGGTTTACAGTAACTGGATTGAGTTTTTATTAATTTTTATGTAGAAATGTGCTTTGGAAAGTTATCAATCTGCAAAATTTGAATTTACTGCTGACTTTTCAGAAAGGTTACTTCTATGTATTCATCCAGCTTAGTGAAAACATAATATGAAATTAAATAAAATGAAAAATGTCTTTATTTAAGAGATGAATTTGAAACTTGCAAGTCCTCTCTACCACTTAACCTCTAACTGAATATGGATATACAAATAAGAGCTTACTCTCAGAGAGCCTTTGAATGTTTTTAGACCAACAAAAAGTGTTGAGCATGTTTACTAACGCTACTCAGCAACAAACACCATTTAATTAATCTGTAACAAAATATTTTTAAATTGCACCGAGCAGCAGTCTAAAAAATTACTACAAAAAAGCTTAAGGGTAGACCTCTCTTTGAAGTAAGAATGTGCCCTCTCAACAGATTTTTTTTTCTCAAATAAAAACATAGATTTAATTTGCCTTGCACTGACGAAATCGCGGAAGAGTTTACCACAAAATATCCATCCACATCCACACGACTTTAATAATATCTAAATGTTCTTCAAAAAGAAGATGAAACCAGTTAACATAGTTAGTTATATCTCCGATGACGTACTGGAAATATTTTATTTATTGAATACTCAAACCATATTTTGTAACTTGCACAATAGTCATTATTATTTTTAAAACTTATTTATAACTTTATAATATAGCCTACTCTATAACTTATAATTTTACTCTTTTTATGGCATTTTGATAAATTGGCGTAAGCCTTGAAAGTAACTAAACCTACCATAATTAATGTTAAAGGTCTATTTAAAATTATTTTACTGTTTACTTATTAGTATTAGGCTACCTTAAAAAGTAGTAAACTAATAAGCTAGGCCTACTTATTTTTTGCTTAGCTTATATCATGTACATTTCAAACTCATATTCATCTTTTCTAGTGTACAATTTCACCCTGAACATTGCGCTGGACCTCAAGACCTGGAGTGTTTATTTGATGTGTTTCTTGCAACTGTAAAATCACACAAGGTAGGCCTAATCTAAGACGATATCACTAACCTGTAAGATATTGTAAAAAATGAACTAAATGTAAACAATTATCTATACTAATATATACAAATGAGATGGTGTGTGTTTGTGTGTGTGTCTGTCTGTTACTTAATAACGCAAGAACCACAGGAACCGATTGAAATAAAATTTTGTACGAAGGCAGCTTATATACCTGGTTAACATTTAGGCCTACCTATTCCTGTTACAGTAGACTCCCACTTATCCGGACTCCTCGGGACCGAGGCCAGTCCGGATAACAGTTTTTCTGGTTAAACCGACGTCCCCAAAAACTCGTTAAAACGGACCGTTTACTGTGATATTTGAAGTAAATTTTGGAGAGCATTGTATTTAGACACGTGATCACTGGTCTCAATTCTTTCCCACGAGAACAGTCGTTTCAGTACCGCCCACTTCCTGCCGATCTAGTCCGGTTAAACCAATGTGCTGATAAAAATTGTCCGGTTAAAGAGATGTAATTTCTGCCAATTGTAATCCGGTTAAACCGATGTCCGGTTAAAAGGTGTCCGGATAAGAGGGAATCTACTGTATTATATTTCCTTTGGGCTACGTCCCATGGGCTTCCAAAGTTTCAATGTTAACATTTGGGAAGAATGTAAATAGTAAAAAATATAAATTGAAGTCAGCTGTAAATACTATAATTTGACAGTTCAAACAGCAGAGGTTAAGAGGTAGGCTAGATGTTCTGCTCCCAAGATTCTAAAGTTTTATGATTATGAGAATAGTAATAGTTTAATTAAAATATTTATGAAAATATATAACTTACTTATTTTAATGGACACAGAAAGATCATTTCAATGTAGGGCAGTGTAATTTTTTTGGAATAATTTTGATATTGTAGTAGCTTTTTGTTTACAAATTTGAACTGATAAACAAATATGTTTGGGTCAGGATTAATAGGTTTTAAATTATACATAAGAGATATATATTGGTACAGTTTTAAAAATTTAACTGACTACTATTTGAATACATATCTAAATAATACACTCTGTATACAAAGATTGTTGATTTCCATTCTATCAAATTAAAACATTAATGATTTTGCCTGTCCTAAACAAATAAAGTTCTTGTTTAGCTCAGAAGCACAAATGTATGCACTCCATTACCTCAGGAAATCTTGTTTGAATAGACTTTTAGGTTTTAAATATATTGTAAATCAGCCAATCACAATTTTTAACATATCACTATACTATGGAAATATATTTTATTATTTAAAACCAAGTAGCTATGTGTGCTTATTTGCTTTGTAATGAATAGTATTGTATCGTATTTTGGCCACGTTTGATGATTTGGTCATATGATTTACGATCATGACCAAACCGTTGTTGGAAACAACAACTGAACTCATTATCTAATCAGAGGAGACAATTTACCGCAACTCACGGGCCCAAAGAGCCAGCTTTGATGATTATTATTGAAGCATTTTAACTAGTGAAACACCCTAATCTTTGGATATATGCAATAGTTATTAATCAATGAACTGGACACAAGGTGAATTAACATTTGAGCAAATAATGAAATGGAGAGCAGACGGAATAAATTAAATAAGTGATTTTGACTACAGAATCTGAAAAGAATTATTAATGGAATTAAGAACAACTATTGTGTAACACGTTATCTCCAAGGGGGCCATACCCCCATATCCCACACATTCAGCTAGCCATCTTCCTTCTTTCACAGCAGAGACATGACAACCCGTGTTGGCGTCGTACACCCCTACTCTCGTCGGTGTGCATACGCGACCATAACGTCATAGGTTGTGTATCATGGCTTGAGCTCACATGAACAAGCGGGACATTTGAAGGGTTGTGGAAACTGAGCTCCACAGTATCATTTCTTGCTCGTCACAAGAGTTCCATTCCTGGGCTCGATGGTGTTTTCCTAAATCGGCTTCGCCCTGCTCTTAGACCTCTATCTTGCCCAGAAATGGTTCACTTTCAGAAGTAGTGAAATATACTATAATTTCTTGTACTTAGTAACATGGGAACGTTTTTGTTTCCTTGAGTGCCATGGATATCACATATGTAAATTCATATATTTACATATGTAAAAAGGCTGTAGGTTAAGCTCTTCATCGAGCTCCCGTTTTGGTCAAGCAAGCTAGATTATATCTGAGACCAGCATTGTGTTCCTTGCTTTATCGACCACTATTCTAGCCAGTTTCCACCGCTGTGTTGGACAATTAGTCTCATAATATTTTTAATTAAAATGTTAAAGAAAATTGAAGTTCCTGCTAAGTATAAATTCTTAATGGTTTCTACTCAATAAAGTCTCAATGGAAACTACTGAACACCCATTGTGCAAACGTGTACAACCTTCTACCAACCCCCTGAGCCATATTTGCTACTTGCAATGTTAAAACACTTTTCTGCATAGACATTTGTCTATTGGCAACAGTACCCAACCGTTATTGACTCTTCCTAGAGAAACATAATCAAAGAACATGATTCATAGTTGATGGGAGTGTTAATTTTCTTTGACAGCATTTTTTAATACTATGACAAGTCTAATCATCCCACAGGAGTAGGGACTGCCTAGAATAATATTGGATGAATTAAGGAACAAGATGTTGGTCTCGGATCTGAGCTCGATGGAGACCATAAGTTACGGACAACCCTTTTACTTTGAACATTAAGAAACAGTAGATTCCTGTTCATATCAGTTTGTTATTTTTTAACATCCAACTAATCCAAGTATTTTCTTGCAAACAAGTATTTGTTTGGAGGAAATAAAAGAGCTATAAAGAACTAAACCAATTACATTAATTAATGTATCTGTTGTTCATTTGTAAAAAATGTTGTGTGGCTCTGACAGGTAGGCAGTGGTGTTGCTATCACAGTTGCTGATCGTATAACAGACCAACTTAAATATCGTCCGTCCACAGACACCTCAGGACCTGTGTCACCTCGTAAGGTGCTCATACTGGGCTCTGGAGGTCTCTCCATTGGTAGGTTTGCCTCTCCTTTGTAAGTTTGAGTTTCTGCTGGAAGTTTCTGCATTTTTATTGTATGTAATTTGAAGCACTTGTGTGATGTATGAGTTTTGACTAACTCTAGATATCAACATACAAGCTGTTAAGGTTCATGCTCTATTGATTCTGTGGCAAATTGCATCATACTCAGGTTTGTGTTTTCATACGTCTGGGGTTTTTTTTTATAGAGAATGGTTTGAAAATTTAGTTTTGTGTTTCATGTAAAACTGCAAACATGTGTAGTAAACTTGTCATGCTTATTGCTTTAGAAAATTATAGAAAACAGTATTTTCCATTACTTCAGTCTATCTCTTTGTCAATTTGCACAAAAACTTCACTAGAAGTATAACGCACTGGTAGACATAGTTTATTTAGTATCACAAGTTAACTGAGGATTGTAGTACAGTAAAGTCCTGCAAATTCTGCACATTGATAAGCTGTCAATCTGGATTTTTTTGGCTAAACATTCAAAATTGGTACGTAAACTGCAACTGCACAGAAGTCTAAGCCAGACTTATTTACAACCCTGCAAGCAGCAACTTTGGTGAGAAACAATAAAACTTGGTAGCTTCAACTTTAGACCTAGCACTACTAACAGACATTAAAACAAGAACAATTGAGTCTCGCCTATCAGATCACCAGAGTGCTAGCCAGATATTCTGTTATTTAGGACTATAACATTTATTTTAACAAAAAAGATCTTTTACATGTATTCCTCAAAACTTTTATTTAATGATTTTCAATGTTATAGTATTGTAAATGCAATATAAATCTACGAGAAATCAAAGAAAACTGTAAATTACTATTTTATTAGATTTAATTGTTGTTCCTTTTTCCTTAACTGACATTTCTCAATTTCAGCACCCTACCAATGCATATTACGCTGACTTTGTAGGACTGTGCTGTAGTTCAGTTTACTTCTTTGTCTATTTGCACAAAAGCTTTGTTAGAAGAGTGCTTGTACAGTAGAGCATCAATTATCTGAAGGCCGGTCATCCGAAACATTGGTTTACGGAAAGGCCAATCACCGATGTTGCCGCATTCTTTACCGGTATTGCCAAGACTGATAGATGAGCTGACGGGTGTTGCCGCAATCGTGGTGGACGATCAAAACCAGTAAAAAGTACTTGTAAGCATGTTAAAATGTATTTAAAAGCTATTAATAAAAAATAAATAATGCATCTCATTTTTATTGTAAATTACGGATTATCCCAAAAAATCTAATATCACCCCCAATCTCCAATTGTTTAAGATAATTGACTCTCTCCTGTATTACTTGTGTGGTAAGGATTGTAGTTTGATAGTTTTCTTGGACAGGACAAGCAGGTGAGTTTGACTACTCAGGCTCCCAGGCAATCAAAGCTCTCCAGGAACACAAGATTCAGACCGTGGTGATCAACCCCAACATTGCCACTGTACAGACGTCTAAGGGCCTTGCAGACAAAGTCTACTTTCTTCCTATCATTCCTCAATATGTAGAACAGGTTTGTGTTGTTGCATCATCATTATCATTAGCTGATGTTGTGTGTGGTTTTTTGTGCATACTAACATTGATATCATGTTAGCACAAGCAAGATGTAATAGTAGCAGTAGGTCAAAATAAAACATTTGACATCGTAGTATCCATTCAAAGTAAGTTAACTATTACAGTAATTAATCCCTCAATCTTCTTACTAGGTATCAATTACCATAACACACTCACTACTGGGAGCTGGACGGTACCTACAGAGGAGTGTAATGGCTGGTAGGCAATGTGTACTATTTTGGCATAATAATATTGCTTATTTAAACCTTTATTTTACACTAACTACCATACGGTACTCAATGTATATTTTTGTAAAGCACTAATAGATTGTTACTGTTAAAAAAGGAAACTCCCTAATAAGAAAATTAATTTAATTAGTTTTTAGGATCTCCAAACTAATGACTTGGCTTTTAGGTCTACATTGAGTACAAGATTTGAATATGCCTATTGCAATGGTGTATTATACTGATCACAATGGTTGTTTTATTTTTACAGGTTATCTGTTCAGAGAGACCAGATGGCATTTTACTAACATTTGGTGGACAAACTGCGCTCAACTGTGGTGTTGAACTTCAGAAAAGTGGTATTTTTGAGAAGTACGGAGTGAAGGTTCTTGGGACTCCCATACAGTCGATCATCGAAACTGAGGATCGCAAGATATTTGCTGAAAGAGTCAATGAAATTGGAGAAAAAGTCGCTCCGAGTGAGGCAGCATTTTCCATTTCAGAGGTAAATTTATATTATTTAATGAGGTTTACGAATGATTCTTTGCTTTAAATATAACAGCTATCTACTACCTATCATATAAATCTATATGACTTGTATGGTTTTGTTTTAATTCATGTATTTAAAATAATTGAAAGAAACTAATTTTATAATTGGTTATAAAATGTGTTTATGTTTTAGTTTTCTCTCCGGTTCTTGATTTTTTATGGTTCTAGAGCCCAAAACTGTTCATAATTGTCCTAATATAACTGACACATTGTATCAGTTTAACATAATTCCAAGAGAGAGAACCCCCAATGTGGATTTCTTGAGTAACATTTCATTATTCCATGGTTCTTAACCTAACATTCCTTGTTTGATTCCTCCGCAGGCATTGGATGCTGCAGCCAAGCTAGGCTATCCAGTGTTGGCGAGAGCTGCATTTTCCCTTGGAGGTCTTGGCTCAGGATTTGCCAACAATGCGGATGAGCTTCGTCGTCTGGCCCAACACGCATTCGCCCACTCCAGTCAGCTGATTATAGATAAGTCTCTGAAGGGATGGAAAGAAGTGGAGTACGAGGTGGTGAGGGATGCTTATGACAACTGCATTACTGTGAGTTTACCTTTTGATACTAATTTACAAAAGCATAGTTGCATACAGTCACTGATTATTATGATTATTAATTGTTTAAAATGACTGAAATTTAATTAATTTAAAGTAATGTAGTTTGCCTGCTCCTTATTATGTATAGCATTTTTAGTGGAACTCTATATGATGTTAATGTCTGCAATTAGTTTGGATCTAACAAATGACTGCCTTTCAAAACATTTAACTCGCACATCACAAACTTGTCAACAAACTACAATGATCAAAACTCAAACAGTTAAATCATCAAATTATCATTTCATCAAACACTTTAAAAACCACTCATACTAATACATTACTGTAGCATCTTAATGTGTTCTTTTCCCCTGTAAATCTTATAGTTTTCAGATGGCTACTTTTGGTAATGTGTCCAATCACAATAAAAACTATGGAGATCATTCTCAAATAATTACAACCAGTTTCTAAATGTGTTTGTTACAGGTTTGCAACATGGAGAATGTTGACCCTCTGGGGATCCATACGGGAGAGTCAATTGTTGTGGCTCCTAGTCAGACACTCAGCAACCGAGAGTATCACAAGCTGCGGACGACAGCTCTCAACGTCATACGACACTTTGGTGTGGTGGGAGAATGTAACATACAATACGCCCTCAGTCCCACCTCCGAGGAATACTACATCATCGAGGTTCCTACAATATTTTCTTATTCAAACCTCTTATTTGAAATGTTAAAATTCTAAGTTTGAAACTAGAAATATAGAACTAAGTTGTATTAATTTCTAGGCTTAAATTATTGTTGAAGATTATTGTTGTTATTGGCTTTAGTTTTACTATGCCTTATTTGTTCTATTTAGGCTTACTTACTGTCAATAGACCTTAAAATATTGATAACCTGTAATATTAAAAAAACTTAATTAATGAAAAAGCTATCACACCAACTCACTCCTATCTCCTATATGCTACCTTTTTTTATCTCAACCCCCCCCCCCTCCCTCTAGGCTGTTCGGCTTATCACCTTTTTCAAAATGAGAAAATCACTGTCAATATTCTGTGTTGAATTAACAGGTGAACGCTCGTCTATCAAGGAGCTCGGCCTTGGCCAGTAAAGCCACTGGTTTCCCTCTGGCCTATGTAGCAGCCAAGTTGGCCTTAGGCCTCTCCCTCCCAGAGATCAATAACAGTGTTACCACAACAACGACTGCATGTTTTGAACCTAGTCTTGACTACTGTGTAGTAAAGATACCTCGCTGGGACCTCAGCAAGTTTTCTCGCGTCAGTACAAAGGTAAGATACAATTTTTAATTAGTAATTTTTTTTAGGTTAATAAAATATATTCTCGTGAAAGTTCGTAAACTGTAACTATGACTCTGTTTATTGCAAACTAACTTTTGTCAATAGATATTTAATTGAAGGAAGGCACTGGCACTGCAACCAATGTACCTATTGAAAACAGTAGCAGCGGTGTGGTTTGGGAAAACCAGTTCTTTAATACAGAGATGTAACGAATATTCAGTATTCGGTCTATTTGGCCAATTTTCCAGTATTCGGTCGAATACTAGTCGACATTCAGCCCAATACCGAATACCCGTATTTAGTTATAATTAGACTTTGTGGAAAAAATAAATCCTTAATAAATCATTTTGAAAAGATTTTTATTATTACAAGAACCAACATTTATTTTCAAAACTTTGCAAACTAATAAACAAAATAGTAAGTTGTGATGGTGATGGTGTGAAATGATGGTGCAATGCCTCTCCACATCACTTTAACAAAGATACAAGTAGTGACTTGTCTATGGGTTATAGCTAAACCTAAACATAAAAGAACTACAACTGGGGCAGAATATTCGGCCTCCGAATATTCGACGCTTCGGCCTAAGACCTCATCGAATATTCGGTATTCAGCCAAAAGTACTATTCGTTACATCTCTATTTTTTATCATTCATTTTTAATCTAATAATTATAAATACCAAACTAATTCAAATCTGCCCTGAACATTCAACTGTGCATAGATTGGAAGCTCCATGAAGAGTGTTGGAGAAGTGATGGCAGTAGGTCACAAGTTTGAGGAGGCATTCCAGAAGGCACTGCGGATGGTGGATGAGAACACAACAGGATTTGACCCGTACGCCAAAGCTGCTCAAGACGAGGAGTTGGAACAGCCAACAGACAAGCGGATGTTTGTGTTGGCTGCGGCTCTCAAAGCTGGATACTCTATTGACAGGTGGGCAGCTTCATAAGACATAACATTTGTTGGGTCTTTTTACCTTAACATGCATTGACAAGTCAAAGATTTCATCACACATTAAAGTGTTTTGTCCTTCTTATTGATGACTTCAGTCTTTAATTAGCACTGTCACTGTAGGCTAGTAAGCTATAGCTAAAGCTGAAATCGATTGAATAAATAAATAATTAATTAATAATAATCTATATATAAAGCCAAAAGTACCCATGAACTTTTGAGAAAACTACAAGTCACACCCCCAAAAACCATATACATAAAATGTTCGTCATGACGAGAAACCTTGCTCAAAACGGTCGTAATTGCTTTCCAAAGGAACTTTGCATATACCTAATGTTAAAAAAACCTCAGCTGTACTTATTTGTATGTTATTCTTTCATTATTTGTTTGTATTTCTGTATTCTGTTTTGTTTATTTCAGCTTAACCTTAACCTATCAATAATAATTTTATTAATACTTATGAATTTAAACGGGGTGAAGCCCGTGGGTAACAGCTAGTTAGGTATAACATCCTAAATAAGTACGTAAATAACCAAAGATGTAACGTACAATTTGACTAGGAATAAATAAATAACAAAATAAATAAGGCAATATATATAGACCATAATTGCACAGACTCAAAACATAGCTAGATACTTAGATTTTGAGGGCTATTTGATTCTTTTGACTTCATGAAACATTTTATATTGTTTTGAATACTGTACTGAATATAAAATTTTGGCATGCATGGTAAATAATAGTAAATATTATTACTTTTTAGCTCTGTATAAATAATTGTCATATGCATTTGATTCAATTAAGTATTTGGTTCACACAACAGACAGCTACAATTGGAACTTAATGACATGAACAATTTCCAAAACCAAATACACCATTGATTTTTAATACTGTAATTAGACTTGCCATTTATGTGGAGCAGATGTACAATTGACTTTGGAACTATTAGGAGACATCTCATTTACGTAAACTAGATCCAGCATTGACTTATGATACTACAAGTATACATCCCATTTACGTTAATCAGATGTAGCATTGACCTTGGAAAAGTATTGAATTAATATGCTAACTCCGCTCAATATTGCAAGGAGACAACTGTATTATACACAGGGTTGTCAGCGGCCGGGAATTCCGGGAAAATCGGGAATTATGCGTGAATTTTAACAGCTGTGAAAAAACCGGGAAATATGCGTGAAAATCGTATTATTCCGTGAATTTAATTGATATCCTAATACAGTTTTTTTTCAAGTAATTTTAATAGTTATAAACCGTTTTGCAATACTTTCTTGATTGATTTTATAGTAAACCAGAATTTACGGTTTACTGGCGAGTGGCGATGGTTCGGAAGAAGCAGAAGGTAAGTTGGATGTACACTACCTACCACCATGAATAGGCCTACGCGGGAAGCCGACATCGCCGGTCGCTGGAAGCACTTAGTTAAATCAAAGAAAATATACTCGCAACTCGAGTCGAGTAGTAGAGGTTAAGCCGATTTCGTTGATGTTTGACAAGTAAATAATAAGAAAGGAAAATGTTTGAGTTTTATTTAATCCCTTAACCCCCTTTCAATATTGACATACTAGGCCTAATAATAATCGGCAACCTAGACATCGCTTGTGTCATCCATTTCACTGACAGCGACAGCTGACACTGGGTGATGTGATAGTGATAGGTAGTGGTGTGCAGCGAGTGCGATGTATCGATTATCGTCATCGATACCACCACACCATCCATTGGTTACCACTTGCCACTTGGACAACCAAGACTCGATTGTCAAAAGTTGATTCCGATAACACCGGACACCCGACAGGGATAAATATTTTTTTTAACATTTATTAACTTTATAGCTACAGTATTAGTTTTGTAATCACGATTAGTTTTGTAGTCACGATTAGTTTTGTAATCACGGTTAACAATTTTCATAGCCAACATAGAAACTATCTAGTTCAAAACAGCGACGGTGCCGGTGACATTGTTTAGCTTCAGCTCATTGCACAACACAATCTACATTTCAAGATGTCAGACTCAACTCATGAGACAACCAGCGCGCGAATGTCCTGCCAACACAAAATTAATTATACTAAACAATGTCTGTATCAATAAGTCAGACATTTAGATGTATTATTTTTTTTAAGTACAAAATAAATAACCTAAACACGTCGAAATGTTCAGTTTCCTCCCTGCAATATTCAACCATTAAACTTTAACATCGTCATCGTCGTATGGTTAGGCTTGCTTTATATTGCGCCAAAAAGTAGGTCCATATTTATCTGTACTATCTACCTGATTAAAGAGTTTAGAGAAATTTTAAGTGCTACTATGACACAATGCATTTATTGAAAAATCTCATAAGCCTTAGTCCATGTAGATTTTGTAATGTTATAACGAATGGTGAATGTTGACAAAAAAGTATGTAACAACAGTTCTCATTGGTCAGGAGGCGACAATGCACTACCATGTCAGCCAATCGACTTTCGTGTTTCAATGGAGCAAATGACGATTGCTAGACATCGTTTTATGTGCTTTGCTTATTGTGGGTGGGAAGGGTATCGATAATTTATCGTGATTCGAGATCCGATATGTAGTACGTGTTCGTTTATGCATAATGAGTATTTAAGTATAAAAAAAACTAGGTTAGTTACAGACAGGTTCAAAACATCGATTGTTACGATCCATTTTTGACACCCCTACACGGAAGTTATAGTGACGTCGTGCATAAGGGCCAGGCAGGCCGGTTCACAGTGAATCCACTCTGCCGAACCTATACTCTTGGTATCATCGGGAACATAGTCAAACACTTTTGTTACTAAATAAAACTATGGCATGTTTTAAAATAGCCTATTCCCTATATGGGAAATTCGCTAAAAGCACTCTTTTGGAGATTCTAGTCCCTAATCATAATCTTTATTGTAGGCTAAAAGTAAAACTTATCTATTGCCATACTTTACTCCACAGACGTCGACTTATTCTACAACTCTTTAAAAAATACCAGGTTTCAGTCAAAATACTTTTGTAAAAATTGACAGTGTGCTGTTTTAACACAGTCATTCCTTGACGACAATCGTTTTTACTTCTTATAGAGAAAATACTCTCCTTACAAAAAGTATTTATAGGTCAAGATGTATGTAGTTTTTTAAAAGTATAACTGCAATTGCTTTTAAAAATAAATACAAAAACTGTCAAATGACTTAGATTAATACTTGTAGGCCTAAGCCTATTTATAAATTAGAAGAAACTTTATTAGACCTCATCACAGTCAAATTCAAACATTTGCAGTGTTTTAAAATAATTAACACTGAACCATGCCCTCGAGCCTGCCCCCAGACTAACGAAATGGAAGCGTGATCCATGCGCAGGCCCGAGGAGCGGCTCACAAAACTTTACTTAACAAAATGAGAACCATGGATGGAGGTTCAAGAACAACACGCCATTTGAGAGAAACGAGCTGTAATTAACCATTAAAAAATAAACAACAACAACATTAACAACAATACATGAAGTAAATACTCTCAATTAAAGTTTAAATAAATTTTTGTTACCAATTTGGCCTACTAACTTACAAAGGAACATTAATTTAAAAAATTCAAAATAGGCTAAATTCGGTCAAAGTAAATTTAATCAGTTTTAACCTTAGTAAAATAAAATTTGTAAAATTGCAACAATGAATATATAAAAATCTCTTCCTTTAAATAACTGGTAACAATTTAACATTTAGGGGCCCCAAAAAAGAAATTTAATTGGGTAGGCTAATTAAAAGGTTATAAAAATATTTTAAGGATTAACAAATAATTAGGCTAGCTAAAATAAATTTTTAAAAAGAAATAACAAAAATAAACTCTGTAGGCCTCAACAATAATAACTTTAGATAGTCTCTTTCCTCTTTTTATGAATCCAACTATGATTTAAATATGTGGTGAAAACAAAACAACAAGTAACTTGCGGTACGACGGATAACTAGTTCATGGGTCTTCAGGCGCACATCACAGGAGGGCTGCTGAAGTTCGACGGAGAGGGGGGTGGCCGGCCCGGATCCCAAAAGAGGGCCCCACGAAGAAGTGTTTCTCCGCCCATGCTCCAAACGTAGAAGGTTGACTTCAAACGGTAGTCCTCCTGGGCCCTGAGTGACAAACCCAGAAAACACAGTAGTCACAGTCTATGTTCATTACCGCAAGGTTCACTGTCACACGTTTGTTTTGTTTTTCACTGACTTCCAAAAATCCACAGATTAGGCTTAATATATCATTTTCAAAAAGATAATAAATTTTTAAAAGGTTTCTCTCTCTATCACAGCTCTTTAACAATATAAAACATTTCAAACAATAACAATATTTTAAATAAAACAACTAACAGGTTAAACAGTACAAGAATGGTAACATTAATTTGCGGTAACAATGTCAGCAGGCCAGACGGGTATGTGACAGTGGTAAATTTCACCAATTGAGAGAAAAAATTTAAATTGTCTGGTCCAAAGTGGCCAGAAGAACAAGTTAACAGAGAACAATTGACACTTAAACACAGAAAAATACTTTAAAATTGACAAAAAACGTTCCATACAAAAATTTAGGCCTAACGCAACGACTCATGTATTTTTGCTAATTTCTCCAAAAGTTGTGAACAGAATTTGTTCGGAATGGTCTTAAAAGCTGGGGGAAATGTTCCAGCAGCTTTTCCAGACCATTCCAAACCTTAACTCAAAGGCAGGAACCAGTGGCCTTCCAGGTTACCCAGTTCAAACCTGAATGAAAAGTTGCCAAACCAAAAATTACTGTAACTTTCTTAAAACTTGAGTAAAATGACTCAAACTTTCTGGGGAGCTTTAAGAGCAGTTAATTCAACTTAATTTAACTAGTTTGGCAAGGACAAAGCAAAGTAAAAGACTTTAACCTTACTTGACTGGGTAACACAAACTGAACATTTTACAAGACAAACAACACTAAAAATTGTACGGGACACAGAAACAAAAGACTACCAGAAGTAGTAGCCTAAGACAATTACATTTACTGAGCAAAAATTGTAAGCCTAGGCCTACCACAAAACAGTCAGAAGGACCCAAAACTGACTTGGCAGTTTCTCTCAAATAGCGGCTTTCCAACAAACATTTCTCAGTCAATTCTAGGCCTAGCATTTCGGGCAAGGCCCTGAATTATACAAAACAACAGAGAAAAGGGAAACTAACTAACAAAAGGGTTCCACGACCCCAAGACTAGGTTCCAGACCTAGTGCAACCATGTGCGGCTAACCTAACTTTAGAAAAATGTGCAAAACTCACCCAAAAGGCGCGCGTGGCGCACTTGAACTACTCCATAACCTCGCAGACTAAGCACAAATTAAAAAACATAATTGACTTTGCATAAAACATGTGCCAAAAGGGCGATGTAAAACGATGGAAAAATGTCTGCGAGGTTAACTAGTTGATTGTCACGCAACCTCTGAAGTGCTTGGCGGTGGGAGTAATAAGAACAAAAACCCACAGCCTTGTTCGGGGTCGTGGAGTGACAACGAACCACTGAACTAGCCTACTATAAAAAAACACTTGAACCATTGATCATGAGTCGTGACATTCGCCCGGTGGAAATAGTCACGGCTCAACACTCAGAAACGTTTGTGTAATGGAAATCTGCAAGCGACTGACGCCAAGGGTAAGGGAGGGCATGTGAACCAGGCTTTAGAGCAAACTTTCTCTTTTCCTACCCCATGTCCCGTTAGACGGTGGGCGGGGCTTCACACTAAATAAACACTCAGTTCATTCATTCACATTAGAGAATAGTTTTTGTGGCAGTGACGTATGTCTCTGTAATACAACCTTATAGTAACCTTTTATAAGCATTATTAAACAATTATTACACACAAGTAAGAAGAGTGGCCTTTATTTGAGTTTGAAACTGATCAAATGACTAGTCTAGCCTACTGTACTAGCTTGATCAATTAATGTTTAAGGTAATAGAGTTTATAACCTCTGATAATTCTGAACAAATTATTAGCCAAATATAGTATTATGAGTGGATGTTATCAAAATGGCACCCATAATGACCCACCGCGCTACCCCTTACCCGCCCGACCATCAGTGCGTCACTAATTAATTATGTGTCACGAAGTGTTCACCGTTTCATCGGTCGGGGCTTACGTAGTCCCTTGGGCAATTTGGCTTGTTTTTTTTTAATTTACTGATAAGTGTAACTTGTGTTGTGCCGTTCTTATAAGTATAATAGACGCCGGGAATTCCGTACTTTTTAGCCGGGAAAACCGGGAAAAATGTGTGAATTTTGTTTATAGATCCTGCTGACAACCCTGTATACACCTAGGTAATATATTTTTACTAACACTGTAAACTTGTACCAAATGGTAAATATTATGATGTTACATTGGCCATCAACTTTGATGAAACGACGGTCATCATAAGACCCAATAAGAGACTCAGATTAAATAGAGAACCAATGATAAATTTAGTACCTACCAGTAATCCTAAACTTGGTGAAATATTCATTCAGCACAATGATGTCTCAATGTTTTCATGGTAATAACATGTCAACATGATCATCTGCTATGTAACCTCACAATAATCGTGAGTCGTTGAGTTGTGTTGTCTCTCACAATTGTGATAAAATACTGGACATCCCATCACCTATGTTCGTGTTAACTTAATCATTGTCTCCCCTAACCACGGCAAAATATTAAACAGCTCCAATGGTCGCGGAGACATCATATTGTCTTCTGATATAACAACAAAATATTGAACATCTCTCACAATCACGGAAAAGTTGTCATCGTCTTCCGTGATTGCAGCGAAGTCTCCCTAAATCACCTGATTGTAAAGTGTATCAAGGTAAAAAAATTCAACCAACTAAGTTAAATAATTAGAGGAATATGACCTTTTTTCATTATACGCTAATTTCATTTTGTCATAATGTGTTTTTATACCAATAACATAAAGAAATTATGCCTAGTTCCACAGAGTTAAAATTTGATTTATCATTTAAGTTGTTTGGTTCAGGTTATATGAGCTGACCAAGATAGACAGGTGGTTCCTCCACAAGATGGCCAACATAGTCAACTACCACTTAGTATTAGAACAGCTGTCTCAGCCAGAACTCACCCCTGAGCATCTGCTGACTGCCAAGCGACTCGGCTTCTCTGACAAACAGATAGCTGCTTGTGTCAGAAGCACGGAACTTGCTGTGCGAAAACAAAGGGAAGATTGTGGTATGTCGCTTACTACCTGAGTAGAATCCATTTAATACTTTACTTTGAAATGGCGACCATACAAATGTAGGTATTTTAAGCTAAGTATGAATGGAGATGAGTGTAGGATGAGTGGTGTGATCTTATAGTCTTGTTAGTGACTAAGGCCGACATATTCCTTAGACAATTAATAGCCCATACAGCCAATGGCAACTAAGGGAAGTGGAATCCGACCCACATTTTTGCCTTGTTATTAACGAATATGTCTAATCAGGTTAGTACTGCGGATAGTAGTAGCACTCACTAGTTTGGACATTAATCCACAGCAGAAAGTATCGCATCCACAGTGCATGCCTATTAATATCGATATTCCTATATTTTTGTTTGGAGAATCCTTATAAAAGACAGACATAAAATATACTTATCTTTAAGGTTTAGGTAAGACGAATCACAGGCCTTGAAATCCTGCTTTGTGATTGGACGACTGTGGTCAGCTGACCAACAGAGTAGCTTGGGGATTTAACTTGAAATTCAAATTGGTTCAAATGCAGTACAGTTTTCCAACTTGTATTTAAAAGTAAAATGATTATTAATTTCTTTTGTAACTTTGCTTTAGAACATTTTGTACTGTAAGAGTGTGAAATGTTTGTTTACTGTGTAGGAGTGACTCCTTGTGTGAAGCAGATTGACACAGTGGCTGCGGAGTGGCCAGCCAGCACCAACTACCTGTATCTCACATACAATGGAGCAACTCACGACATCAGCTTCCCAGGTGGACATGTCATGGTCATCGGTAAGTCACCTAGGGTGAACAAGTAAATTTAAAATGAGGAAATAATACTACTTGAATCTTGCAAACTTCACATATTTTTTAAAAGGTGAACTGTAATTTTTATTTTAAATTTTATTAATATAATTCAACCTTATAATTAATATTTACCACCCTTCTCAAACTTGAACTTTAAAAATAGGTATTATAGTTTAGTTTATTATTTAAGTTTTTTTTTATTATGTCTTTTATTTTAAGAATGTCAAATAAGATCTTGAAAGTAATCCTAATATTAACCCCCACCACAGGTTCGGGTGTGTATCGTATTGGCAGCTCAGTGGAGTTTGACTCTTGTGCTGTTGGCTGCCTTAGAGAACTGCGCAAGTTGGGCAAAAAGACCATCATGATCAACTACAACCCTGAAACTGTCAGCACGGACTACGATATGAGTGATCGACTCTACTTTGAAGAGATCTCATTTGAGGTTGGCGTTTGTAATTGTTTTTACTCTTTTCAATAAATAAAATATGTGTATTCTTAAGATGGAAATGTGATTACAAGGTATTATTTACTATGTTTTGTTAAGGAAAAGTGTGTTTCGTTTTTCTTTTCTTTTTTTGTTCAAAATTTTCACTATCACAGTTGGCAAAAATAATGTGTCAAAATATTGTTTCATCAGTGAGTTTTGCTCAGTCAGGGGTAGGGCTAATGTTGCTGTGGATGTTTAATAACATCAGTTCAGATTAAGCCATCAACGGTCAAAGTTGTCCTTAATTTCAACTGTTGTGAAGCAAGCTTTGGCAGTGTTTTTGATATAGTACGGTAGCTTTTATCCACAGCATCAGGATAGTGGTGTTGGTGTTGGAAATCAACCTATCAAAAATGTTGACATTTCTATCATGTTTATCCCTGGATACTTTGATCCGTGTATTAATTGTGTAATAGCATACCTCATGGCTACCATGGATCCATCCGCCCCTAATCCTTCTCTCTTTCCCCTGTTTAAAAGTTCTTATTGCTCATAATATCCTCCCATTCTAACAAAGTATATCCTACACTCTGTCCTTTCCAATTTATAACATATGTTTTACCTCAATCTTCTCTAGTTTCCTCCACTCTTAATTCACTTCCGTCTTCTCTCTTTAGCCCTCAGTTTAATTGCTGTTTTAGTGTTTTACCTCGTTGTTCAGGTAGTCATGGACATTTACAACATTGAGAATCCAGAGGGAATTATTCTGAGCATGGGAGGTCAGTTACCCAACAACATTGCTATGGACCTTCATAGACAACAAGCTAGAATATTAGGAACCTCGCCTGAATCAGTTGATGGAGCTGAGAACAGATTCAAGTTCTCTAGAATGTTAGATCGCATTGGGATCTCTCAGCCCAGGTGATTGTTATAATCCATACAGTGAGGGTTTGTGATTTTTAAACAATTATTAAATAACATTTAAGGCCACTTTTTGTAGCTGCTGAATTTGGCTGCATTTTTTGGCACCAACTCAACACACAAGGGTCAAGTACAGGCATTTCCTCAGTAAAGCAATTCGGCAAGGAAATTCAAGACATTTAGAATCCTGAAGCGACAACCGACAGTTAAGAAACCCTGCCTTTAAGAATACAAGAAAGAATTAATAGAAACACAACTAGCTGACCTATGAAATAATTCTAGGCAATTGATAGCACTTAAAACGTTTTCTGGGCTATCAACTGTCTTGAAACTCATTTCTTGAAGTTATTTATGCATACATTCCCTCTTCTTCAATGCATTTCTTCAAACAAAACACAATGCTGACAATCAGCACTTCTATGTAGTCTATGCTTTTTTATGTTTTTTTTTGTTTTTCAAATAAATGTTTTAGCAAAAATTTTGTTTTATTTAAGTGGTTATCAACAACGCTTGTGCGATGATGCCAATGATTAGGTACTAAGAAGTTAAGTTAGAGTCAGTATGTTCCTAAGCTAAATACTTTTCACTCCTGAAAATGTAAGTGCTTTGTGAATTATTGCTCATGTTTCAGTTTCTAAATACCTTTGCACTCTACTTTTCTTAATTTTGTGTTCAGCTAAATGTTTGAAGATTACACACAATAACACCAAAAGGTTTATAGAATATCCTAATTAAATCATTTTTATGTAAACTTCCTCCACAAGCCATATTTATATTTAGCCTATATTTTAACAGAAACATAGTATGTTTCCAACCATTAAAGTTCCATTAACTAATAAATATTTCCATAGGGGAAAAAATCAAAACTACAATTTAAACTCTCTATTAAAATTAAGAACCAATGCAAATCCTTGGCCTTTAGGAATAGTTGCTACAATATTCAATTACAGATGGAAGGAGTTGACAAACCTCAAGTCAGCGAAGGATTTCTGTGAGGAGGTTGGTTACCCTTGCCTTGTGCGGCCGTCGTATGTACTCAGTGGAGCAGCCATGAATGTGGCACATTCTGAACATGACTTAGAGAAGTACCTACAGTCTGCGAGTGATGTTAGCAAGGAACATCCGGTTGTCATATCCAAGTTTCTACTGGAGGCTAAGGTACATCAATAAACTCACAAATAAAATAGACCCATTAATCATGTGTTTCTGATCCATTAACATTGTCAAATGTTTTTGTGGTTATGTCCGATTCTGATAGGTTAACTAGTTGTCACCTAAAATTTGATCGCTTCGCTAGTGAAAACAGAGATGTTATTTGTGCATACACAATAGTTGATTACTAGATCGAGGTATCCAAGTGTGATGATTGCTGTTTTGTTGACAGGAGATAGACGTGGATGCAGTAGCTTGTGATGGTGTCATCTTGTGTATGGCTGTGTCTGAACATGTTGAGAATGCAGGTAATACATTCATTCATAATGAAGAGTAAAGAAAACTATTCCAAAAACTCAAAACTGAAAATTATCCCTGATATTTTTTGTTTGTTTTTATTCAAACAATATAGTTATCTTAGCTTGTAATTTTGTTGATTAGCTGAACCAATTAAGGAATTATTATTTCATTGTATGTTAGGAATTAGGATACCCAAAACAATATACAAAGAAGATTTATACAATTAGTAAACCTTTGCAAAGTTTAAGATTTTACTTTATTGATAAGATTTTACTTCTAAAAATAATAGAGTGAAAAGCTTGTCAAGGTTAATGATAAACGTGGCATGCTGTAGGTGTCCACTCCGGAGACGCCACCCTGGTGACTCCTCCACAAGATCTCAACTCTGAGACCCTGACCAAGATACAAGCCATCTGTAGAGGCATTGCCAGCAGCTTGGAGGTCACAGGGCCATTCAACATGCAGCTCATTGCCAAGGTAACAAGTCACAACCCTACAACAGTACTAATGAAATTTAATTCTATTTTATAAAGGTAGCTGAATGATCTGATTGAGTGTTTATGTTTGTCAGGACAACGTACTGAAGGTGATTGAGTGCAATGTCCGAGTGTCACGCTCGTTCCCTTTTGTCTCCAAGACCCTGGACCATGACTTTGTAGCGATGGCAACCCGAGTCATCGTAGGAGAGAAGGTGGAGCCTGTAGATGTTTTCTCAGGCTGTGGCAAAGTTGGGGTCAAAGTGGCCGTCTTCTCTTTCTCTAGGCTTGCTGGTGAGTCTACTGAGTGTGTGTTGATTAGAGTATAACTTCAGTTGCATGAACTGAAAATGTCAGATCATCTTTTAACAAATAATAATTATAGCTTATTTTTAACCCTCCGAGTGTCATGCATCGCTGCAGCGACGCGTAACACACTTTGTGTAGTGTCATGCGTCGCTGCAGCGACTCACGAACACTGTTTACGGCAAAGGCTCTATGACTGACTGAATCGGATTGAACTGGATCGAGTTAGGTATCGTTCTTTTCGTTAAATTATAAGTTTTCTCCAGAGGTCTGTCTCAGCACTGTATGTTCTCCGAGCCGATCGTAATTGTAGCAGACAGCTGACGTGCGTATTTGTAAATAGCTTGGTTATCCTCGGACCGATGACTGATGTGTTTTATTACGTTTATCATTGTTTTAGTGTTAAAAATCAAAAGTAGTGATATACGTGGTGCATTATAAGAAGATTTAAGTGATTTTGAAGGGCTGGTTGATGATCCTGAAGAAGTAGGTAGTGATATTGATGTAAATTATCAGCCAGATTCCTAGCTATGGTTAGGCTATGCATTCTTAGCTAAACGCAATGTACTTAAATCTGTTTTTCACTCATAACTTATTTATTTGATAACTTACCTCACTATATGATTATATATTTGTAATCCTCATAAAATTTAGAACAAAGTGGCTATTTTCAAATATTTATAGGCCTATAATTTATTCAATTTCATTGAGCGCGAACTTATTTTTTCTTTGAAAATTTTCCAAAATATTTTTTTTTTACCTAAAAAATTTTTTTTAAACAAATGTTCCTTATGTTTTATATATAATATTGAAGCCCATGATTTTCCAAACAAAATGGTATATAGAACAGTATAATTAACATTGTTTTTAAGCTTCTCAGATCCGTTTTAATAAAACCTTGCAAATGAGCTAAAAATAGGCTGACATTAAGGCCAAAAAAAGGGACACTCAGAGGGATATTAAACAATTTGATTAAGGCCCATTATTTTCAGTTTCACATTGTTTGAATTACTGAATGTCGGTTTAATTTGGTGTGATGTATTCCCTTGATATACAAAAATGTTATTTATAGATTTAAGATTATGTAAAAAAAAATAGCTAATTATATGTAAGACACAAGATATACTCATTAATGTGGGCTGCCTTAATTTTAGCTTATGAAATAGCAGAAAGTATTTAGTTTGTCTCTGCAATATCTTTCAACAGTTAACCTAGATTACTTTGATTTCACCATTGTCTGTGTCTGAACTACCCAGTAAACCCTTTAACACAAACTGGCGTTACCAGGAGCGGATGTGATGTTAGGAGTAGAGATGGCTTCTACAGGAGAAGTTGCTTGTTTTGGTGACAACAGATATGAGGCCTATCTCAAGGCAATGATGAGCACAGGCTTCCAGATGCCAAAGAAAGCCATACTCCTGTCAATCGGCAGCTTCAAGGTGAGTTGCACCATTAAAAACCATTGATTTATAAGGTTTATAATCATTCTAAAGAAAATTTGGATTAATTTAGTAATCAGGATTATTTTAACTTCAAACAATATATCTTTTTCTTTGTTTCTTTCTAGTTTTCTCAGAATAAAGTTTAATTTTATGTTAGACCAGCACAGTGCAAGTGTGGTGTACTTTGTTCTTGGAAAATTAGTGCTGAATATTTATTCATGTTCTCACTTAAACTATGCATCCTAAACCCTGATTATAGGTTGTCTGCTGATATGTGACAATTATTATAAAAGTTATAAAAATAAATTAGGAATAAAACAACCTTTTTAAAAGAAAAAATCCTTTTTTTAATTTGGGACTATACAATTGCAAAATACTGCTTTATATAATCAAAGTACATTTTTATAACAGCTGATCAAATACTTGGGTTGTGAAAAATTCTTTGGTTAAAGTAGTTTTTATTTCTTAACATGAACAAAAATTAAAACCATCCAGTTGATTTAAGATGGTTTCTAAATAAAATACTCGAGTTGGTTTATCATAAGAATGTTTTTGTTTGACAGCACAAGATGGAACTGCTCCCCAGTGTACGAGCCCTTCACAAGATGGGTTTCAAGTTGTATGGCAGCATGGGAACTGCTGACTTCTACAATGAACATGGAGTACAGGTAGACTAGCTACAGCACAAATTGGTAATCCAAACTTTTTACACTGGATTTGTACCTGGTCCTTTTTCAAACGCTTATAAACCAACAAAATCATTACTGCTAGAAGGAAAAGGTTTTATACCTTGTATAATACCTGCGTTTTCATCATAAAGAGTGTACAATTATAAAAATAAATTATTATTTTATTTTATATTCTGTAGTCAAGTGGTTGGAGTGCTCCCCTTGTAAGCTGAAGGTAGCTTGTTCGATTCTGAGTTCAAATACATTTTGGAAGGTTTAAAAACTGGAACCGGCCTTGATCACCTCACTTTTGAAAATGATTCTGGACAATGAGATCTCGGTTGCAATTATATTTTACTATAGTCAATTCTATCCTCATCTTTTACTTGTATCAAATGAGTAATATTGTTTTCATAGAACAACATAGTCTACGCAGAACTCGTATCAGACATAGATTGGATACATTTTTGTCATATTTCTCATTTGCCCTATCCTAAAAATTATATGCTAGTGTATCATTATTTTTAACCATCTATATACTTTCAGGTGGAATCAGCTCATTGGACGTTTGAAAACATTGGTGAAAGCACGACGACAGGGGAGTTGAACAACTTGAATGACTTCCTTGCCCGCAGAGACTTTGATCTTGTAATAAACCTACCCATGCGTAACTCTGGCAATCAGAGAGTGTCATCATTCATGACATACGGCTACAAGACTCGACGACTCGCAGTCGAGTACTCCGTGCCTCTAGTGACTGATGTCAAGTGTGCCAAGCTGCTAGTAGAGGTTAGTTTACATTGTAAAGCACCTCTCACGCATTGTGTTTATTTTGATTTTTTTTTACAGAATATTTATTTTCTCATATTAAATGCAAATTATATCAATTGATAAAATCTATAGATTACGCATCACTGTGTCATCTACTCAATGTCACATTAATAATTTAATTTCATTTTACTAAGTGCACATGAGCAATAAGAAACTAAGTATATTATTTTTATAGGCTTTAACAATAAAATTTACTTGGAACAGTGTGCTGGATTTAAGTTAAAGATTTATAAATTCAAAGATGGACCACAAAAACTAATTGATTTTTTAAGGGGGGGTTAATATACGCTCTAAAATTAATTGACTACATTGTTACAAAATTTAACCTCAACAGGCTCAGTAGTTTTTTTCTTGATTGATTATCAAACTCACAATAGTTTTGCTGCAAATCATGGATAAGTAGAAAATAAAGCCTAAGGCCTGTCTAGACTCTGGTACTTATCTTACTGACTACTAATATAGTGTCTAATTTAGATAACAGATGCTACCCACAATGTGTGTTAATGCCTAGTCTTCTTTTAAGTAATAGGCAAGAAACTAGCTCAGTAGGTCAGTTATGCTAACCAAACAGTATATTTTTTTAACACTTGTTTTAGCTTTGTTAATTGAAAATTACTTTTATTTTTAATATTTTATTTGTCGTACCTACTTGATAGCTAATGATTTTCTGTAGATAAAAAAATCTTGTATTTAAAATAATTACAAAATGAAAAGCTTATGAACAATGTGTTAAAATACCTAGTTTTTTTATAAAATACTTGTAATTTTTAGTTGTTGCTTTTGTTGTTTAGAGTTTATCCATGTTTGCCTCCTGGATTGAATAATAATAATAATAATAGGTTAAATACCTTGTATACGTCCTCAATCCAAGTCGTCTTTTATAATGACTATAGTTTTGGGGCCAACAGCCCCATTGTCAAATTTTCTGTCTTGTTAATTACTGTTTATAGCATTGGTCACGTTGAAGTACACATATACACATACACTGACACACGAAACATTTATATTTACACGTAACATTGAAAAATTATACTTTTTACACTGAGTCAGTGTACCGGTCCGCACAATGATGTAATCACTTTTGTTTAGGCCGGCCAAAAAGTATAATTTTTCAATGTTACGTGTAAATATAAATGTTTCGTGTGTCAGTGTATGTGTATGTGTGTACTTCAACGTGACCAATGCTATAAACAGTAATTAACAAGACAGAAAATTTGACAATGGGGCTGTTGGCCCCGAAACTATAGTCATTATAAAAGACGACTTGGATTGAGGACGTATACAAGGTATTTAACCTATTATTATTATGTTTAGAGTTGTTATTCTTCGCATTATTTCATATTTGAGGAGTTTATAGTCCATCACAGTTGCAGTGTTTGTTAAGTAACATATCTTCGTTATATTGATTTTCTTAAAAAGTTTTTGAGCTTGTACGTTTATTTGCACATTGCACATTAATATTATTTTATTTCAAATTTGATTTGATTTGTTAGGGCCTAAGTGAAATAGCTGGCCACACAACACACCTGGCATATTACATTACATATACATGGTGTCTACTCTCCGGGAAATTCGGGAAAACCGGGAAACCTCCGGGAATTTTATCTTACCTTGAAATGTCCTGGAAAACTCCAGGAATCCACCCAAACCTCCGGGAATCCGGAGCCCAGTCATCGGAATCGTCGCCTAACCGAAACACTACCGCTTTTGTTGCCACGATCGCGGGAAACGATTATCGGTGTTGCCGAAACCGCAAGATATGCTCACGGGTATTGCCGCGATTGCGGGAGACGATTATCGGTGTCGCCGAAACCACGTGAGATGCCTACGGGTGTTGCCGCGATCGCGGGAAACGATTATCGGTGTTGCTAAAACCGCAAGATATGCTCACGGGTATTGCCGCGATCGCCAGAGACGATTATCGGTGTCGCCGAAACCACGTGAGATGCCTACGGGTATTGCCGCGATCGCGAGAGACGATTATCGGTGTCGCCGAAACCACATGAGAAGCCTACGGGTGTTGCCGCGATCGCGGGAAACGATTATCGGTGTTGCTAAACCCGCAAGATATGCTCACGGGTATTTCCGCGATCGCGGGAGACGATTATCGGTGTCGCCGAAACCACGCGAGATGCCTACGGGTGTTGCCGCGATCGCGGGAAACGATTATCGGTGTTGCTAAAACCGCAAGATATGCTCACGGGTATTGCCGCGATCGCGGGAGACGATTATCGGTGTTGCCGAAACCGCAAGATATGCTCACGGGTATTGCCGCGATCGCGAGAGACGATTATCGGTGTCGCCGAAACCACGTGAGATGCCTACGGGCGTTGCCGCGATATGCGCACGGGTATTGCCGCGATCGCGGGAGACGATTATCGGTGTTGCTAAAGCCGCAAGATATGCTCACGGGTATTGCCGCGATCGCGGGAGACGATTATCGGTGTTGCCGAAACCGCAAGATATGCTCACGGGTATTGCCGCGATCGCGAGAGACGATTATCGGTGTCGCCGAAACCACGTGAGATGCCTACGGGTGTTGCCGCGATCGCGGGAAACGATTATCGGTGTTGCTAAAACCGCAAGATATGCTCACGGGTATTGCCGCGATCGCCAGAGACGATTATCGGTGTCGCCGAAACCACGTGAGATGCCTACGGGTATTGCCGCGATCGCGAGAGACGATTATCGGTGTCGCCGAAACCACGTGAGATGCCTACGGGTGTTGCCGCGATCGCGGGAAACGATTATCGGTGTTGCTAAAACCGCAAGATATGCTCACGGGTATTGCCGCGATCGCGGGAGACGATTATCGGTGTTGCCGAAACCGCAAGATATGCTCACGGGTATTGCCGCGATCGCGAGAGACGATTATCGGTGTCGCCGAAACCACGTGAGATGCCTACGGGCGTTGCCGCGATATGCGCACGGGTATTGCCGCGATCGCGGGAGACGATTATCGGTGTTGCTAAAGCCGCAAGATATGCTCACGGGTATTGCCGCGATCGCGGGAGACGATTATCGGTGTTGCCGAAACCGCAAGATATGCTCACGGGTATTGCCGCGATCGCGAGAGACGATTATCGGTGTCGCCGAAACCACGTGAGATGCCTACGGGGATGTTGCCGCGATCGCGGGAAACGATCATCGGTGTTGCTAAAACCGCAAGATATGCGCACGGGTATTGCCGCGATCGCGGGAGACGATTATCGGTGTTGCTAAAGCCGCAAGATATGCTCACGGGTTTTGCCGCGATCGCGGGAGACGATTATCGGTGTTGCCGAAACCGCAAGATATTCTCACGAGTATTGCTGCAATCGCGAGAGACGCGTGAGATGCCTACGGGTGTTGCCGCGATCGCGGGAAACGATTATCGGTGTTGCTAAAACCGCAAGATATGCTCAACACGGGTATTGCCGCGATCGCGAGAGACGATTATCGGTGTCGCCGAAACCACGAGATATGCCCACGGGTGTTGCCGCGATCACGGGAGACGATTATCGGTGTCGCCGAACCCGCGAGATTTCCTCACGGCTATTGCCGCGATCGCGGTAGGCGATTATCGGTGTTGCTGAAACCGCAAGATATGCCTACGGGAATTGCCGCGATCGCGAGAGACGGTTATCGGTGTCGCCCAAACCGCAAAATATGAATACGGGTGTTGCCGTGATCGTTGACGGTGTGACGTTTTGTCGCTGATGTTGAAGATACTGCAAGATATGCTCACTGATATTCCCACAATCGCGGGAGATGATAACTGGTGTCGCCTTACCTACCAGTTATACTGTTTTATTATGTTGTATAAAATATTATTCTTTGAAAATGTTTTGTTTCAAATAATAATAATCATTATTAATAATAATAATAGCCTAATAATAATCATTTTCATTTATTAGCTGGTTGCGATTAGTTAAACGGGTTCCGATAGTAGCTCCTTAAAATTCAGGAATTTGTCTTGAATTCTCCTGGAAAACTCCTTGAATTTTTCAAACCAGGTTTAGTAGACACCATGATATACAATGGGAGATTGAGATTAGTATGTTGTGCGGTGTACAGGCAATGCTGAAGATCAGTAAGGAGCCTCGCATGAAGACACACACAGACTGTCTGTCCTCCCACCGCATGGTTAAGCTGCCAGGTCTAATAGACGTCCACGTCCACCTCAGAGAGCCTGGCGCCACTCACAAGGAGGACTTTGCCTCTGGTACATAGGCTTACTCTAATACTAATAGATTGTATTTCATTCAAGTCAGTAACTATTAACTACTTGTCATATGTAAAAAAGTCAACTTAACTTATGTGTTATTAATAGTCACCTTTTAATTATTTTTTTGTGTGTTGGATCCCTGATTTCATTATAATGTGATTTTTCTTCAAGTCAATTTATTTATTATTTAAAATACATTACATGGAACGTATAAAGCAAAGCAAGGAGTGAGCTCTGAGCTGATACAATGTAAGAATAAACTATGCTGGTAAATATTAGTGAAGACACCGTGACGTGAATCCACGACATACCGGCCTTGGATTCGTAGTCTGTTACACAACCAACTCATCACTTGCTTACTTAATCTACTTATATAATAATTTAGTTTTTTTTTAATCTTTGTACAACTAAATCTAAATCTACAGTTCTACTCGACGGATGTTGATAATTAGTGTAGATTTTCAAATAATTATGATTTTTTTTTATTTGTGGTGAAAATTAAAAAAAAAAAGTTTTCCACAAGAAATGCATTGAAAACGGTGCTATTCACATTTTTTTTATTTGGAACCAACTTTTGGCTGCCTTTATTGAGTATATTCAAGAATTGCCTAAGAGTAATTTGTATACAATTTTATTCTCTTTCAGAATATCACGTTCCACTTTGGTTGATTTCCTGACCATTTAAAAGTTATTTGCAAAAAAGCTAAGAAAACGCTGCATTAATAGTGGTGAGAAAATACTGAGTAAGAGATATTTTTTTAAACTTTGTACAACTAAATCTACAGTTCTACTGGATCGATTTTCTTAATTAATGTTTTGTTGGAAAGCCTAATTTGAATTTTGTTAAATTTTGTACGACTAAATTTACAGTTCAACTGGACTAATTGTATGAATTAATAGGTCAATAAAAAGCTTCATCCATGTAGATTTGCATATGATTATTGATTTTTTTAGATTTACGGCAGTGTATGCATCATCTGATCATATAAAACCTGTGTTAATAATTTAACAGCTGATTGTTATATTGTGATTTAATTTTTTTTCTTTGTTTACATGTTGTTGTTCACAACTATTTGCATTTGTGATTAAAGTGTGTTTCTTATGTTATGTGCGTGTTTCTAAAGTTATGTGCTTAATCTGTACCATTAATTATTAGTGAGTTTAGTGGCGTATGGATTTCATAACCATTATTTTCCTAGAGACCGTTGTATTTGACCACAACGTGCAGAAGTTAGTTTCTGTTGCTAGTTATTAATAATTTCCTGTTATTTGTCTACCAAATTTAATACAGTAGAACCTCTTTCATCCGAACTAATTGGGACCAGCGGTAGTTCAGACTATTGAATAATTCGGATTACAGAAGATATTGTTGTTTTTACATAACAATAGCTAGGGAAAAGTGAAAAATGCTTTATAAAGTAAAATACAGTGTTTATTTAATACAGTAGTAAACATAGGGAATAAACAGTACTGTACATTACAATTGAAATAATTACGGTGCGTATATAAATAAATACAGTATTCAATAAAAAACTACTGTTCTGTGTATAGAGTACAGCAATGAGGCGTTCGGATTAGTGGACGTTCGGATTACAGGGGTTCGGATTAAAGAGGTTCTACTGTAGTATTATAGTCCAGGTGGAATGAAGTCCTGTGGTGTCAAATACTGCTCCGACCAGTCCATAATAGAATTGGCAAGTATCAAAAAGTCTGTACTTATCCCTAGAATGTTGACTTCTTTTTTTCTAAGATTTCTTTACTTAACAGTTTAATATCACTGATTGACAGGCACGGCTGCTGCCCTGGCTGGAGGTATCACGATGGTGTGTGCCATGCCTAACACTATACCAGCCATCGTGGACGAGGAGACGTTCACACTGGCCAAAGAGTTGGCTGCGGCCAAGGCTCACTGTGACTACGCCATCTTCCTGGGAGCCACAGTTGACAACTACAACCGCATACCCGAACTGGCCTCTCAGGTACTGTTCAACAAACCATACAAATCTATCAATTGACGGATGAAAAAACAAAAAAAGTAGTTAAAATTTAGGGGTGGGCGAGTACTCGACTGTCGAGTAATTACTCGAGTAGTTGGCAATACTCGACAGTCGAGTCGAGTAGTTAAAGATACTCGTGACTCGAGTCGAGTAGTAGACGTTAAGCCGATTTCGTTATTTTCATTGATATTTGACAAATAAAAATAGTAAGAAAGGAAAATGTATGAGTTTTAATTAATCCCTTAACCCCTTTAAATATTGACATACTAGGCCTACTAATAATCGGCAACCTAGACATCGCTTGCGTCATCCATTTCACTGACAGCGACAGCGCCGACAGCTGAGCGGACACTGGGTCGCCGACAGCTGAGCTGACACTGGGTGAAAGGCAGTGGTGTGAGGTGTAGGTGTGCGAGTGCGATGCATCGAATCCCGATTCGATCCAGCATGCATCAAAATCCCGATGCATCGATTACGTCACGATACAGCTCTACTAGTAAAACGGGATAATTCGATTATCGTCATCGATACCACTGATACTTGGACATTGGTATCGGTACCAAGACTCGATTGTCAAAAGTCGATTCCGATGATACCGACATCCGACAGGGATAAATATTTTATTTTAACATTTATTTACTGTATAGCTACAGTATTAGTTTTGTCATCACGGTTAACAATTTTCATAGCCAACTTAGAAACTATCTAGTTCAAAACAGCGACGGTGCCGGTGACTTAGCTTCAGCATTGCACAACACAATCTACGAATCTACATTTCAAGATGTCAGACTCAACTCAAGAGACAACCGGCGCGCGAATGTCCTGCCAACACGAAATCAATTATACTAAACAATGTCTGTATCAATAAGTCAGACATTTAGATGTAGCCTATTATTTTTATTTTTAGTACAAAATAAATAACCTAAACACGTCAAAATTTTCAGTTTAATAATCCCTGCATTATACGCATCATTAGAAAAATTATATTCAACCATTAAACTTTAACATCGTCGTATGGTTAGGCTTGCTTTATATTGCGCCAAAAAGTAGATCCATATTTTGATCTGTACTATCTACCTGATTAAAGAGTTTAGTGAAGTTTTAAGTGCTACTATAACATAATGTATTTATTGAAAAATATTATAAGCCTTAGTCCGTGTCGATTTTGTAATGTTAAAACGATTGGTGAATGTTGACAATAAAAGTATGTAACAACAGTTCTCATTGGTCAGGAGGCGTCAGTGCACTACCATGTCAGCCAATCGACTTTCGTGTTTCAATGGAGCAAATGACGATTGCTTTGACATCGTTTAATGTTTTATTGTGGGTGGAAAGGGTATCGATAAATATCGTGATTCGAGATCCGATATGTTGGACGTGTTTGTTTATAAATAATGAGTATTTAAGTATAAAAAACTAGGTTACAGACAGGTTCAAAACTTCGATTGTTCCGGTCCATTGTTGACACCCCTACATGGAGGTTATAGTGACGTCGTGCATAAGGGCCAGGCAGGCCGGTTCACAGTGAATCCACTCTGCCGAACAGCCGAACCTTGTTCTTGGCAGTCTTGGTATAATCGGGAACATAGTCAAACACTTTTGTTACTAAATAAAACTATGAAATGTTTGTTAAAAGCACTCTTTTGGTCTTTTGAAGATTTTAGTCCCAAAACATAATCTTTATTGTAGGCTAAAAGTAAAACCAAAACCTGTCTATTGCCATACTTTTCTCCACAGACGTCGACATAGGCTATTATGCAATCGCAATGTCTTTAAAAAATACCAGGGTTTCAGTCAAAATACTTTTGTAAACATTGACAATGTGCTGTTTTAGCACAGTTCATTCCTTGACCACGATCGTTTTTACTCACTAGAGAAAAGACTCTCCTAACAAAATGTATTTGTAGGCCAAGATGTTTGTAATTTTTTTAATGTATAACTGCAATTGCTTTTAAAAAGAAATACAAAAACTGACAAATGACATAGATTAATACTTAAAAAATTAAGCCTATTTATAAATTAGAGGAAACTTTATTAGATCTCATCATAGTCAAATTCAAACATTTACAGTAATTCAAAATAATTTAACACTCTTGTGTAATGGAAATCTGCAAGCCACTGAGGCCGAGGGTGAGGGAGGGCATGTGAACCAGGCTTTAGAACAAGGGCAAATTCTGCCAAACTTTCTCTTTTCCTCCCCCATGTCCCGTTAGACGGTGGGTGGGGCTTCACACAATAGTTCATTCATTCACAGTAGAGAAGAGTTTTTGTAGCAGTGACGTATGTCTCTTGTCTGCTCTTCAAGTTCACACATCTGGACTTCTTTAAAACAATTATAAGTGATAATCTTTATTAAAAATAAGTGAAAAACTGTTGACATTTTCAAGGAAAAAAAGTTGAGAAATAAAAGTTAATTTTTTTTTTTGATTAGTTATTCTGTATTTCAAAAATATCCTCATTTATGATTATGTTTTCAGCTAGACTTGGTGACTTTTTCGTAGTTAAACAAATTTTGAAGATATATAATTAGTGAGAAAATGTCATTATATAGGAAGTTAGTTTTTACTCACTTGGGGGAAAAAACTTACCTTACAAAAAGTATTTGTAGACCAAGATGTAGGCTAGGTACGTAATTAAAAAAAAATTATAAACTAATGAGTTAACTAAGACAATTTCATGGAATTTCAAATAAATACAAAAACTGAGAAATGACTTAGATTAATAGGCTACTTATAAGCCTATTTATAAATTAGAGGAAACTTTATTAGATCTCATGCTTTACTTAGTCAAATTCAAACATTTACACAGTAGGCCTATTATAAAATAAACACTTAGTTCCATATTTTTGCAATTTTTTTTGCAGTTAATAGTAAACCTTTAACACCAAAATATAAGTTTGATACACATACATATTGTGTTTTTATATGGTGGTATAAAAGTTTTTAACCAGGTCTATTTTTGGTGGATTGAGAAATGCTTTGTTCGTAAAAATGAAGATGGAATATATGTAAAATAAAATTGTTGATTTTCTCGTGAACTACTCGACTCGATACTCAAGTATTAGGGCTAATTACTCGACTCGACTCGACTCGACTCAAAAAAACACTACTCGCCCATCCCTATAAAATTTATCCCTCTTATACTTAAAAGAACTAGTGATTTCAATCTGGCTGATAATTGGAGAAAAATTTATATGATAAGATTCTGTAAATAAGTTTTAATTAGGGATGGTCAAGTCTCGAAATTTCGGGAAATTTCCGGGAAATTTTAAATCTCGTTACACGAGACGAGATTTCTTTTTGGCTGAGATTTTTATCGAGACGAGAATTAAAAAAAAAAAAAAAAAAAAAAAAATTAAAAACGCCTGCAGAAAGTCAATGCAATACCCGCAATACAGGAGCGTGTTGTAGTTGCGTTTCCTTTGCGAAGGTGTTCTTATTTAATTAATTCTTCAAATGTAAATATTACTTTAATTATTTTAATAACATTAGAGAAGTTAGCAGTGTGAGGAATGTTTTATTACTATAAAAAAGTCAAAACAAGTAACTATTTTATAAAAATTAATATTTTATTTTATGATTTATTTTATTTTAGGATAAGTTGAACTCTATCCTAACTGATATCACTATATTTCCTAATCGTAGGCATTTTTAATAAGTTGGGCGTGATTAATAAAAAAATTGTATGCTGATGTTTTTTAATAAAAGATTGTTAATATTCTTGCATATTATCATTACAGTAGAACTCCGATTATCCGAATCAATAGGGACCAGACCCCATTCGGATAATCAAAAATTCGGATAATTGGAGTTTTACCGGAATTCCGGGAATTTTAAAGAAAAATCCTCATTTTCGGTACTAAGTGAACTTTTAATTAATAATAATTTAAATCAGAACATTTTTACAGTTTACAATGCTCATAGTACAAGTGTTCTATACATGTTATTAAGTCAATAGTGTTCCATCAAAGTCCAAAATTGGCTAAATGTGTTTAATAACAATTCTTTGATATTTTGCAAAACATATTACTGTAGCTTTACGTTTTTAAAATTGTTGAAATAAGCGATTCGGATAATTGGAGATTCGGTTAATTGGAGTTCGGATAATTGGAGTTCTACTGTATTTTTGTATTTAAACAGTCATCTAACAATGTTACAAAATCAGGTAAAAATTCCGAACGTGCATTTCCCGTTGTATATGAGAAGGGAAATCCCGTCTCGATCTCGTCTCGAAATTTTATGAGAAATAAAAAATCTCGTCTCGTCTCGAACTAAAAATCCAATCTCGGCCATCCCTAGTTTTAATGTACATTTCAAATTGAACATATCAACACAAAACACAACAACAACAACAAAAGGTAACGAGAAGTGTTGTTAAATGTTTATTTCAAAGTTTGTTCATTTTTGTGTCAAAAGTTTGTGAATGATCATCTTGTAAATTTTATGTATCTGTTGACTGGTGAATATACTGAAATTTTAACTCTGAATTGCAGGCCGCTGGACTCAAGATGTACCTAAATGAGACATTCAACACACTTAGGCTGAATGACTTGACTGATTGGATCAAGGTAATCTTATTCAGCCACTGAAAAATAGTACATATTAAGTTAGTTTTGTAAAATAAGATTTTAAAACATTGAAGGTAGGTTATAATTAATTGATTTCAATGGTTTCAAACTAAAGTGATGAGATCAGAACTAAACTAAACTAAACTAATGAGATCAGATTGTGGGAGTAGCTATAAGTTTTAAACACTACAGTTTTTTTTCCTGGAAAATGTCAAAACTCTACATAAAAGATGTGATGTGTGTGATATAATGTGATGGGTAAAGACCTGAGTATAAACTTTGACTGACATTGAACACAAATTTTTTTATTGTGTCAACTTCGGAAGGACATCATTAAGGTAATAGTCCCTTTCTAAAATAGTGATATTATATATTGTTGCCATAAAAATACCTGAGAAGACCATAGTTATTGTGTAAAAACTACCAAAATACAGAGTAACTAGAGACTTCTCTTCCTTACTTTCCATCATAGTACTGTTGGTGATTTTAAAATTCATCACTATCAATGAATACAATGCTCACACACCAGGATACATATTTTAAGGTGAAAATGAGTGAATTAAAAGTGTTGAATTAATGAGACGATAGCCTTGTTGATGACTACACATCACCAGTCTGGTTGTAAAGGTTGTATAGTCATGATCATTAAATTAATTGAAAGTTAAATGGTTAAGGACAGGTGGGTCGAGTTTTGAACTACAAACCAATTGCCAAATGGTCTCTGGATCTAAATGGCAACCTTTTGATTATAGGTAAGCACCGTATCCATTCAACTGACAATGATAATGAGTGTGATGACTGTTTTGGCTTGTGTAGCACTTTGACAACTGGCCGCGGCGGTCGCCCCTGTGTGTCCATGCTGAAGGTCAGACTACGGCTGCTGTACTGTTGCTTGCCTCCCTACACTCCCGGCCCATCCATGTGTGCCACGTAGCTCGCAAAGAGGAGATACAGATCATTAGAGCAGCCAAGGAAAAGGTACAATATGCTCGTTGATAGAAAATACAGTGTTGACACCTACTTTCTATAGGTACCTGTAAATTGTTGTAACCAAGCAATTTTTTTGGTTTTTATAGATAGTGCCACAAACGGTAAAAATTGATTTTGTTTGTCTTTTTTGGTAACTGCAATACTCAAGACTTTCTTTTTATGCACAGGAAAAAATCCCATCCCGTCCCGTCCCGAAAATCGGGAAGGAAATAAAAATCCCGTCCCGAACTAAAAATTCAATCCCGTCCATCCCTACATTTTGCAAACTTAATAATCTTAATATTTTATTTTGCAATCTAAATCTTATGAACTAAAATGATGATAGTGATTTTGCTACCCTCATTGTTAACCTCACTTAATTTTTATACACCCTCCTAAATAATTAGGTCTAGGCCTAGGTCTTTTGATTTTTAGCAAGAGCTTTAAAATATACTAAGAAAATTTGATTGAGCCTGAGATAAATTAATGATTGTTATGTGTGGATGTTAACTTTGCAAATGAAAAGACAATAGTCTTACTCTGTGCTAATCCAAATTTTAGTTTCAGAATAGACTTTCCAAGAGTGAATCCATCTTATAATTAGTTTTGAAGCTCATAAAAAAGATTCTCTTTGCCATTACTTCATCATAACCTCCAGCTTTTCATTGTCGTCTGTTGAATGTGAACAGCTGGCAAACTACATAGTCGTCATACTGAAATCTTTGACATGTTTTTAAAAGTTAAAAAAAGCTAGACATGTGTTGGTTGGAAATAATTTACTAGTTGTGTGAAATTATCTTGTCAAATTAATGCTTCAAACATGTTTGTTTATTCATAAAAATTCTTATCCTAATTTTAAAACCACTTTATCATTTAGAATTTCTCAGAGTAAAATTGGTTAAGCCTTTATATTAACTTAACAGTATTTTTTTTCTTGACACAAACCTTTTAGGAGTGATGACGAACAGGCCAGCGTTTGACTGATTGGTTTTCAACAGGACATTTTCAATTTATAATTTATTTCAATCTATCTATATCTATTTACCTATATTTGTATTATTTGAAATGTTGATGCTATATGAACTGTATTAGGTATATAAAAGAGCGTTTCCAGAAATGAATGCACGTGTATTGGAGGATTAGTGTTATTTAAGTGATTATTTCTGACATTTCCTATCATGATTAATAAAAAATAAATGTTCTGAAAACTTAGTTTTTTTACTAATTGTGAAAGAAAATGTCCGCACTAATGTAATGTATATTTAAAAACTCCTTATCAGATACAGTTAACTTTGGTTGTTTAGACATTTTTTTTCTTGGTTAAGTAATTTTAATCTCTACCATGTTTTAAATTAATATTACTCAGTAGATTAGACAGTAGATTTTGACTTTATACATAGCTTTAACTTACATAGCTTTTTGACTTTGAGTATTAGCTTGAATTACTTGGTCTACATCCATTCGCCTATTGTGGTGCAGGGTTTGCCTGTGACATGTGAGGTGTGCCCTCACCATCTGTTCCTTACCAACACTGCTGTAGAACATCTGGGCGATCGGAAGTCCCAGGTCAGACCCATCCTAGTCACTGAGGAGGACAGACAAGCTCTCTGGGACAACTTGGACATCATCGACTGTTTTGCTACTGATCATGGTCAGTCTTCCATACACATTATGGACTCTGCTATCCCATACAGAGTGTTCATAAAGAGATGTCACTCACTTCAGGGGCTGATAGTACCAATAAATCTATTAATTGGGTTTGATGACCTGAAGTAATTTTACAATTTAGTCTACTAGCGACCCCTATGCCACTCATTACATACCGCTACTACGAGACTTCCTTAACTACCTGTTTCAGATATACAGGGTGTCTAGTAGTTGGGAAAAATGGGAAAGTCGGGAATTAGTTTTGAATTTCAAAATGGTCTTGAAAAGTTTGGATTTAGTCTTTATTTTGATATAAAAGTCGGGAAATTTCACAAGACGATGATGATGTTTACACGTTTCCAGAATTGCTGGAGACGACAATAACGTTTCCGTGACTGCGGGAGACGACGATGACGTTTTCGTGACCGCAGGAGCCAATGATGATGTCTCCTTGTCTACGGAAGATTTCATGATAAAAAAAACCCTAAGAATTTTTCATTGCTGCATTTTGTCTTATACTTTAAAACATTATCTTAATAATACTTTATGACTTAAAGAGGGGGTGTGTGTAGTAAAACCAAATTATTTAGAAAATTTGATTAGACTATACAAATTGGTATCGACACTCCCTATTTTTGTTGAAAAAAACTAGCCTGTAATTAGTCTTAAAAAATCTGGAATTAGTCTTGAATTTTAAAATGGAAATAAACTAGACACCCTGGATATACCTTGACTGTGTTCAAATCACAGAAATGCTCCAGCAGTTCTCCCAACCATACTTAATAACTCTTCAAGCATCACCAATCTTTCAAACCAACCCAATCCAATACAACAACACCATAACCTCACTGACTACAACATTAATATCACAAGTAGCTGTAACAGGTCGATAACTCTCTAACCTGTAGGCTGAAAAGGACCATATGCACAAGTTGTAGAACACAGAGTGGACTCATGGCCCACTTAAACGTCAAAATCACATAAATAATCTTTTTGGCGTAAATAAGAGTGGTGTTTACAAATATAGTTACACTGCAGATAACTTAACTTAAAAATGTACTTTTTATTCGAGATAAGGGCATTGTGAAATCTGTTTAAATATTGTTCATCAGGCTGTCAAGGACATCAAATTTCGTTCCAGATGAAATTGTTGAAGTTAAAATCTAGGCCTATGGATGTCACACGTTTAATTACACACAAACAAAAAGGCGAACAATAAATAAACATTACAAATCGTCGGTACCAGGAAACATGATTCGCACGGAGGGCAGCTCTAGACGATGACCTCGGGGTCTAGACCTGCCTTCTGTGCGAATTGTGTTTCCCGGTACCGGTGTTTTTGTAATGTTTATTTATTGTTTGACTTTTCGTTTGTGTGTAATTAAATGTGTGACATCGATGGATTTTAACTTCAACGAATACCTCTGGAATGAAATTTGATGTCCTTGACAACCTGATGAAGTTCCCATCGGGAATGAAACTGCAGTAGCCTATATAGACTACAAAGGATTACTTTGACAGTATAATGTATTTAAACCAATATTTATTAGAAATAAATTGAGCCAGAACAAGAACAAGATCATGTGTTCCCACTTATATTACATTTAACAGTGATGTATTTTTGTCTTGTCAATGAACAAAGACCCAAAGCCTTTCTTATTTGCGTGAAATGATAGATAGGTACAGTATTGCTTTATTAAACAGTTGTTGTTGTTTGCAGCTCCTCACACTCTAGAGGAGAAGCTGGGAGAGAAGGCTCCTCCTGGGTTCCCTGGACTGGAGACTATGCTGCCTCTGCTGCTGACTGCAGTCAATGAGGGCAAACTGACCATCGAGGTGATTGACCACCATATCCTGTCTGATTTGGTTTTATTTTAATGTTGCACATTATTAGAATAACAATAGAACCTTTCCCAACCAAAATAAAAGAGGGGGAAGTTTTTTTGGACAGTAAACATGCTTTATTTCTTTGGCAAAGTATATGACACATTCAATGGACACAGTAACCTAATATACTGGCTGAACATTAAGTCCACGGGTTTAATATACTCTGAACGATAACAGATTAATGAATAAGATTTGGTACATCAACATGACACCTAAAATCTACTTTTTGAAGAAACTATTAAGTTTTCTGTCATATCATGTGGACACGCATTGAGTCAGAAGGTAATTTTAAACGTAAGCATAGGTTTATATGCAAATAAAAAAAGGACTTTATTAGTAAAATACAACGCTGCAAATTTGAGCTCATTAGAACAACTGAGTCAAAAATGGCAGCCATTCAAAGATCCAAAATGGCAGAATAAAGACTTTGGAAGGCTGCAATTTTTTACTCAGTTCTATTGAGCTCATACTTGTGGCATTGTATGTTACTAATAAAGACCTTTAATTTTATGTGCATATTGATCTATGCTTACGTTTATCAGTTTCTTCCGAATACTAGCGCCCACCCCCTGAGGAGATCATGGTAGCATTGCAAATTCAAGGAATCTTTGAAAGCTGTAATTTTTTTAATCAGTTTTCCGTTTGAGTTTGGGTTTGCAGCATTCTATTTTACTGACAAAGACCTTTAGTTTGATGTGCATATCAACCTATGCTTACATTTCAGATTTCCTGTTGACTCCCCATGATAGGACAGAAAACTTAAAACTGATAATTCCTTCAAAAAGTAGATTTTTAGGTGCCGTGTACTGTTTAAAGCTTTAGACAGGTCCATAAAAATTCCAGCTACTATGTTTTTTTATGTATTGATTTAGGCTAATTAAAGATTCAGTAAAGCTAATCAGGGCGGTGTTGGTTGATGATTTATTCTGCCTGACTTTCTACTGTAATCATAGTGTTGATAATACTGAAAAATTGTACAATAAATATACTATAACCATAAACAATACACGTTCATTTTTATTACAGTTAAAATGGTTTTGGTTGAGAAATGTTTTTTCTGTCTACAGATTTTTAAATAACTGTTACTAATTTGTGATAATTGTTCAGTTTTTTTATCAGTTTTTAAACATTTCTATCTATTACGTTTCATTAAAAGTGAATGGTATTGCAAATACTCTCGCTTTGTTCTAAGTATAATACTACTTTTAGTTGAGTTTAGTTAAGTATAAAGCGTGGAATTCCTGCTTAACCCTTATTACAATTACAATGTTCATTATGATTCCTCAGGACCTGATCAACAAACTTCATCGTAATCCTCGTCGCATATTCCACCTGCCTGAGCAGCCCCATACTTATGTTGAGGTAACTATGAGGTTTGAATAGATTATAAATAATTATAGTTTTAATAATTGTTTTATTGTTAAGACTATCTAGTTAAAAATAAAATTTGATATTAGAAATGCTGTTATTTGTTCACAATTCACATGCACAGGTAAGCTAATATAGTTACTATCATTGTTGTTGTAATTAATTATAATTGCACATCCACTTCAACACATTTACTCTAGAAAATGTTTGTTATAAAACTATGACCCTAGAATTTGGGACAATACAGCTATATCAAGTACTTGACTGTACTTGCATTTCAACAACCCTCAAAATTCAATATCAGTTGCATGGTTTGTGGTTTGAAAAATATCAATTCACCAAAAAACCAACTCATAATACCATAATTATTTTACAAACTAGCCACCATACTCGTGCTTTGCAACGGGAAGACAACGCTAAAGAGAATTCATTAATAAATAGAGTTACCTTTGTCACTATACTTTGTTACACTACTAGGAGCTGATTTTCAAAGGTAAATCTGTTTATTAATGATTTAGTATTTTAGTCGTGAGAGCCACCACCCAGACATACCTACAGATAGACAGGCATACGGATTGGACTGAAATTTGGCTACATGATAGCTCACATTCCCAATTAACATATAGGCCTATTCTTATGTCAAAACTCCTTTCGGACTCCGCCCCAGTACCTCTGGAGTTTCCCATGTTAACCTTATGAGTATTCATTTATTATAAGAAACTAACGAATATTGAGAGCTGCTTCAACTAAACTAAGTTGGTTCGCTGATGTTAAATAGCATTAAAAAGTTACAAGAGTTACCAACAGGGTGCAGCACTGTTAATTGTTAGTTTGAATTTATGAAAACAGCTAATTTGAAAAAACAAGCAAAAAAATATGTGATACACAGTGATAACTGTCCAAGTAGTATTGTTTACAGCTATGTTTATGTTATGTTTATAAAAATGTATTGTGTTTGTTTTTTTTTTTATGTATAAACCGAGTAGACTGTTAATACTTTTTGTGGATTACTGATCAAGTAAAAGACTTGAATGGAAGGAATTATATTATAGATGTGAAAGTTTTGAGTATGTTAATATTATGAAAAATACTTGTCCAATAACTTTTCCAACAGCAAATCCCTAGAACATAATAATTATTCTCTTTAACGTTCCCTCCCTTTGTGGCTATTGGTAAACCTTGTAACTTTTTAATGCTATTGTACATCATAAAACCAACTTGTTAAGTTTAAACAGCTGTCAAGATGCTATGATTCCTTTTAAATATGAATACTCATAAGGTTAACATGGGAAACTTTAGAGCCACTGGGGCCGAGCCCAAAAGGATTTTTTAGATAAGAATAGGACTATATCAGAAAATATGAGCTATTTAACCTAATCCGACCAGTAGTTAAGTGATTGAGTCACAAACAAACAACACACAAACTTTTTCATTTATAATATTATTATGATTATATTATTATTATTATGATAATATCCCCTAAATAGTTTTTAACAGTTAAAATATTCAACACTGCAATCATTCAGCTACGTGGCATTTGCTTAATTTTGTCCAATAGCTTTTCTAGAGATAATTTTTAGGAGGAAATGTATAATGGAAGATTGAGTTTAGTTTGATACTAAAATTGCTCAATAAAAAGGTTTAGGTTAAAAAGACTTACTTTCCAAGTCAGGCTTTGAGATGCAAACAGCTCTAATAAAAATTGGCCTTCTCTAGGTTTACATATTTCCACTGCCAGAAGATTCATTGTATCTGATCAACAGACTTTAACTGCCACAAGTTGAAAGCCTTTCTACACAGATAATTTACTTTTATTACTAGTACCTACTTTATGACTGTCTGTCCAAGGACTTATCATATTCAAAGCAAAGGAAGCAACCATAATACTATTATATTTCAATTTTCATTCTTTTCCACTCTGGAAAACTCTTGCTTAATGCCTATATTTGTTTAACCTACCATTTAACAAATCCTATTTTGCAGGTTGACATGGATGCAGAGTGGACCATTCCAGAAGCCATGCCCTTCAGCAAGTCCCAGTGGACACCCTTCGCTGGCATGAAGGTCAAAGGTCAAGTCCACCGGGTTGTTCTCAGGAAGGAAGTTGCCTATGTTGAAGGCCAGGTAATGTCTTACTGTCAGTTATCTCCTAGATTATCAGTAGTTTTGCAGGAGTATCTCTGACTACTTTGTTTGTGTTAGGTGCTGGTACCATCAGGCTATGGTCTAGATGTTAGAGACATGGATACATGGAAGCCTGGGAAGACATCTAAATTGACTGCGCTGAGTAGAGCTGGCAGCTCTCTAGATGTCCACACTCACACAACTAAAACTGACTTCTCGGAACTACTTGAATCAGAGGACCTTTATGTACCACCTTTGCATATAGGTAATGATCTAAATTAAAATTACTGTGTTGTATTTCACTAATCCCTAGTCCCTATCAGCTAATGCAATGACGTACATGATATTAGAATTAATACAATAACTTAGGGATGGACGAGACTGGATTTTAAGTTCGAGATGAGCTCGAGAAGAGATTCTTTTTTCTCATCATAATTTGAAACTAGATCGAGACGAGATTAGATTATACTTACTTACTTACTGCCGTGGCCCCACAAATCTCAGTTGATTCTTCGCCTCGTGTACCAGCCTCTTCCACCCTTCTCTGTCCTCTGCCAAGTTGACACTTGCACCCATTGTCCTGATGTCGTTCAATACTTGGTCAGTCCATCTCAATTTCGGCCTTCCCAATGGACGTTTACCTCCAGGTGTGGCTCTCCAAACTTCATACAGTCTTGTTCCTTTCTCTCTTCTTAGCACATGCCCTATCCAACTTAACCTTCTTCCTTTAACTATTGCAACAATATCTGGGTCGGTGTATAGTGATCTTAACTCTCTATTTTTCCTCATTCTCCACATTTGTCCCTCCTGTACTGGACCAAATATTCTTCTCAGTACTTTATTTTCAAAAACTACGAGTCGGTTTTCATTTTTCTTGGACAATACCCATGTTTCACTACCATATAACAGAATAGGTTGAATTATTGTTTTATATAACTGTATTTTGGTTCTTTAGGATTTTTTGAGAGGATAGCAGGCTTACCTGAATGGGAAAGAGTCCAAACTGGCACAGGAAACCATCCTGTCCTGTGCCAGTTTGGACTCTTTCCCATTCAGGTAAGCCTGCTATCCTCTCAAAAAATCCTAAAAAATCTAGGCCCTTGTGCTCTATGCTACACCCTTAACCTGTATTTTGGTTCTGTGAGATAATACTTTAGATGAGATCAACTTCTTGCAGGCTCCCCAACACTTATTGGCATTTGATAACTTAGTTAGTATGTCTTCGTCTTCTGAGTTTCTACTATTTACAGTTACTCCTAAATATTTGAAACTTTCTGTACAATTTATAGTTAAGTTCTTTATCTGTATGTTTCTGTTTCTATTGTTTGCTTGTCTTCCAAAGTTAATGATTTTAGTTTTTTCTACATTTACTTGCAATCCTATTTTGTTAGCTTCTGTGATAAGTACTTCTGCCAAACTTACCAAGTTTTCAACTGTTTCTGACAAAATGACTACATCATCAGCAAATGCTAAAATGTTTAGGTCTACTCCAAGCTTAACACCCAATCCTAGTTCTTTTGTTTTCTGCAGGGCTTCTTCCAGTGCTAAGTTGAATAGTATGGGAGATATGCCATCTCCTTGTCTTACACCCGTGTTGATGGAAAACTCCTCAGATAGATCTCCTTCCACTCTCACTTTGGCTTTTGAGTCTTTCATACACATTTCTGTTAGTTTAATTAATTTGTCTGGCAAACCATGCTTTTTTAAACTTTTCCACAAGCTGATTCTGTCTATGCTGTCGTATGCTTTTTTGAAATCTATAAATATTGCGCTAACATTCTTGTTGAACTCCCAATATTTTGAAATTGCCTGCTTTAGAATAAAAATCTGCTCTATCGTGGACCTCCCTTTCATAAATCCAGTTTGTTGTTCTTCAATTAGCGTTTCTACATAGGGGTTTAGTCTTGCGACAAGGATTTTTGAAAGTATTTTTATTTTATATGTATTATTTAATAAAGAAATTCCTCTGTAGTTCTTGCAGTTTTGTTTGTCCCCCTTCTTGTGTATAGGAATGATTGTTGCCGTTTTCCATTCAGTAGGTATCTTTTCTTTTTGCCATATAGTTGTGATTAGGTTGTGGATTTCATTTTCCAATATGCTTCCTCCGCTCTTGATTACTTCTGCTGTGATCCCATCTTCGCCTGGAGCTTTGTTGCATTTTAATTCTTTGATTGCCATTTTCACCTCTTCTAACGATGGTGGGTCTATATGAGGCTGTACATGATAGAATGTTGTATCTTCATCGGGAGTATTAACGACAGTATTCTCGCAGTTTAGCAGGTCATCAAAATAGTCTTTCCATATTCTTAGTGTTTTCTCCTTTTCTGTGGTAACTTTTCCTTCTTCATCCATTATGCCAAATGTTCTCGCTTTAAATCCTCCTTTGAAGAATCTTATAGTTCTATAAAAGTCTCTAGTATTATTGGCTGTTCTATCTTCTTCTGCTTTTCTGAGTTTTTCATTTAAGTAATCTCTTTTACATCTTCTAAGCGTTTGTTTGGTGATTCTGTTTGCTTCCTGATATTTTTGTCTTAGCTCTTCAAAATTCCTTACCCTTAGTTCGTCTTCTTCCCCATTTCTGTTTTGAAGCCACAATTTTTTTAGTTTCTTCCTCTCGGTTATCATTTTCTGACACTCTTCTGTAAACCATGGATTTCTCACTTTCTTTACTCTTTTTCCACACACTTCTTTCACTACTTCTTTCACACTATCTTGAATCTTCTTCCATTTTGATTCTATTATTTCTTGTTCTTGTACCTGTTCTGCGACATCTTCTTGTACTTTTCTTCTCTCTTCTTCTCTATCTAGAGCTTCAAATCTATTTTCTAGTTTAATTTTGAACTCTTCTTTAATTTCCTTCAGTTTTAGTTTTTCTGTTGCTAATATTTCTTTTCTTACAACTCCCCTTCTTTTAGTGTCTATTCTTTGCCTTACTTTTATAAGTACCATGTAATGGTCTGTTCCATATTCGGCTCCCCTGACACTTCTTATATTTGTAACACTGCTGATGTGTCTGCTGTCCACCAGGACATGATCGATCTGATTTTCGGTTTTTCCGCCTGGTGACATCCAGGTTGCTTTATAAATGTCTTTTCTTTGAAACATTGTACCTTCATGTCCACTGCGCTTGCAAACGTGACCAGTCTTAGTCCATTTTCATTTGTCTCTTCATGTAAACTATTACTTCCTGCAACTTCTTTCCAAATATCTTCTTTTCCCACTTTTGCATTTGCATCCCCAATAACTAACTTGACATCATAGTTTGGTAACTTATTGTATTCCTCTTCTAAATTTTCATAAAAGAAATCTTTCTCTTCATCATCAGAGTCTTCTGTTGGTGCATATATACTTAACAGTGAAATATTCTTGAATCTTCCTCTCAATCTAATATTGCATATTCTTTCATTCTTTGGTGTAAAGCTTATCACACTTTCAGCTATTCTTCTATTTACAACAAAACCCACTCCTCCATAATTAGATTATAGATCTCATTAATATCAGGAATTAGCTGTTTGTGCAATTTCACAATGGTTAATAAATAACAATAAAGCACTATCAAAAAACAACTTAAGTACAGTAACTAAAATATGCTTACGGTGTTTCATGTGCGCTACACAAGAAATTATGTTTCAAAACACATTACTGTACGGTACTTATAAATATTCTAAATTAGTTATGATGATTGTGTTGGCAGAAAGTTACGGAAAAACAGAGAAAACAGAAGGGATGGCTCGTCTGACAGAGCACCAACTGCTGCTACGGCCTGTCTCTCCCACCCCTATTCCCCCTGTGGGAACTCCTCATCCTCACCCCTCCTCCCATGGTCTCCAAGGTCAACATGTGCTCAGCGTGGACATGTTCAGCAAAGAGCAACTGAACGACATATTCAACCTGGCCCAGACCATGAGGGTGTACGTGTTGAAAGATCGTCCCTTGGACCACATACTCAAGGTTTGGTGTAACTGCTAAAGAGGTTTCTAAATAGCTCTTGTTAGACCACATTTAGATGTGTACAATGTACATGGCTATATGCTCATTGAGCATCATAAACATTTCAATTTGAAATTCAAAAAACTTGATTGTTCGACATTTACAAGGACCCTTCAATCTAAGGCCCGATTTCACCAAGCACTTAAACCGCCGTTAAACCATGCTCTAACTGCAGTTAACTCTTAACTGACGAAATCGGATTTCACCACCCGCCGTTAGAGCTAGTTTAGACTAAACCGTCGTTAGATAATTAACTGCCGAATTTTGACCGGTTAACTTCTTTAATCCTTCGTTAAGTAAATATCAGCTGGCTTTAAATTTAAAGTTTATATGGAAAGGCAAAATGGTAGAAGAGAATACGGTACGAATTAGCTTTTAAAAGTAAGTGATGGCAATGAAGAGTATCCTATGTTGTTCGCCGAACTAGGTGGATTAAGAGAAAGGGTTAATGATTTTAATAACAAAGATGAAATTAATTTTATTATTAGATATGAACTATCAAAACGTTTAGCCTTTTTCTTTAGGAAATCAGTGGTTTGTATTCAGGCTATCCCACATAGTGCATTGCTTTAGGTTATCCCACAAGGTTTTTAGTTAAGGCGTATAACTGTGATCAGCGACTAGCGATCGTATTGAACTGGTTGGTGATCAAGAGCCGTTCTCTTTTATCCCGGCTCTTCTACCAACATTATCAAATTTATTATTTCATTGTTCGAAAAATAGGCTCCCTTTTCCTTCTCCTGGCTTTGGGCAACCCTAACCCAACGTTCAAACAATTGTTTTGTGTTCGGTCAGACGTAACTAATGCAAAATCTAAACCTAAATTGTCATTATTGTGCTAGTACTTTATATAAAATAGTATTTTTTGAGTTATCTTTATTGTGTCTCGTTCTTGTAATTCTTTTGACCCCAGTTTTTTTTCATTACTTCAAATGTACCAAACTGGTTAGTGAACAAACAGAACATTTAACATCCCTGTAAAAAGTTGGATTTTGAGTCTTGACTCGACCGCAAAACTCAACCAATTTGTTCCTCGAATATTAGAGATGTTCAAATCTCGAAATTTCGGGAAATTTTCGGGAAATTTTAAATCTCGTTACACGAGACGAGATTTCTTTTTGGCCGAGATTTTTATTGAGACGAGAATTAAAAAAAAAAAAAAAAAAAAAAAAAAATATTAAAAACCCCTGCGGAAAGTCAATGCAATACCCGCAATACAGGAGCGTGTTGTAGTTGCGTTTCCTTTGCGAAGGCATTCTTATTTACTATAAAAAGTCAAAACAAGTAACTATTTTATAAAAATTAATAGGTATTGCTTTTATTTTATGATTTATTTTATTTTAGGATAAGTTGAACTCTATCCTAACTGATATCACTATGTTTCCTAATCGTAGGCATTTTTAATAAGTTAGGCGTGATTAATAAAAAAATGTTATGCTGATGTTTTTTAATAAAAGATTGTAAATATTCTTGCCTATTATCATTATTTTTGTATTTAAACAGTCATCTAACAATGTTACAAAATCAGGTAAAAATTTTGAACGTGCATTTCCCGTTGTGTATGAGAAGGGAAATCCCGTCTCGATCTCGTCTTGAAATTTTATGAGAAATAAAAAATCTCGTCTCGTCTCGAACTAAAAATTCAATTTCGTCCATCCTTATCGAATATGTTTGATCAACATTGCTTTGCCTTTATTTACTTATGTTAATTGTTTTGGTATTTATTCTTGCTTTCTGTTGTTATTTTGTTCAGAATCTATTGTATTCCTGTAAGCCACTCTCCAGTTTTGTTTTCATTTCACTACCTCATAAACACTGATTTATTTTCTAGGTTATGTTTACTTGCTCCCGTAACAGCCCGGTATTATGACAGTTCACTGCCACCGCTACCTGGATTTTACTCTAAACTCTCGTTTATAAAACCAGCGTTAGTTTTGACGCGTTTTCGTTGGTAAAATCAGATTTCCTTAACTGTGGTTTAAATCATCGGTTAGTTTTAACCGAAGTTTAACTAAACCGTCGTTAGCGAGAATTTGGTGAAATCGGGCCTAAGTAACTTACCTACAAAAATATTATTTAAAATATTGAAATAGATTCTCAATTAACCATTCATATGTTATCTGACCTTCCACGTTAACCGACTCGCCCTGTGCGATTGAGTATTATAAGTTTGCTTGTTATTTCTGCGAAGCTTGGCCGTAGACTAGATATTGCTCAAGACAACCTTTTCTGCCGCCCAAGACTGTAATCAGAACCCACAGAACTTACTTTAGGTGTCTGCATGTGACTGTACTTTACATTTGTTTTTGCATGCTACATACCAAGCAGTTTGTCAAATCCTTATACCTGTATACCTCTATGATATTCCTCTCATCTTAGTCTTAGTGTGTGACCTGTGCTTGGTTTATCATTTACTGTTTCAGTAAATGTGTTTTTACTGTGGTGTGTATTTATTGCTTTGTCAGTTCAGAAGCTCTATGGATTTTTTATTTAGTAATATTTAAATAGTTATTAAACATGTATTAACATAGTTACAATGTTTAAATACAATTAAAAACGTTTTTTCAGTGTTTTTCATTACTTACTGTTTTATCCAATCTTTTCCCTTATTCGCCTTGCTGGGGCTGGCTTAGGCTAGATAATGATAGCTCTGCTTTATTGAAAAACTGTCTATGAAACAAAAACTGTAATGCCAATACTATCCATGTATACAGGGTAAGGTAATGGCGTCCATATTCTACGAGGTGAGCACTCGCACTAGCAGCAGTTTCAATGCAGCCATGCAGAGACTGGGCGGTCGAGTGGTGCAGATAGATGAGACCAGCTCTTCTGTCAAGAAGGGGGAGACCCTGGAGGGTGAGCTCAACTAATTTGAAAATCACTTTTGCTGATAACCATGCGGTGAATTAATTATTTTGTTTCTGCTGTTTTGTCTCCAGCCACATTGAATCTAAATTTCATACCATATGGTAGTAAATCTTTTGGTCAGTGTACAAGAAAAAGACCTCATAACAAACATGCCTACTCGAAAATTGGTGTACTTGGTTGCAGCAATAAACATGAATTGTGTTAATTATAATCACTTTTGATGATAATCTTGCATTTATTATTAATTCTTTTGTTTTTGTCCATTTTGTACATAGTTTAATAATAAATAATGGTTCAAATACCTTATACTGTCAAAGTGATCGTTTGTAGCCTATATAGCTACTGCAGTTTCGTTCCCGATGGGAACTTCATCTGGCTGTCAAGGACATCAAATTTCGTTCCAGAGGAAGTCGTTGAAGTTAAAATCTATCAATGTCACACATTTAATTACACACAAACAAAAATACGAACAATAAATAAAAAATTCTAGACCTGCCCTCCGTGCGTATCGTGTATTCCCAGTACCGATGTTTTTGTAATGTTTATTTATTGTTCGTATTTTGGAAGATGTTCATGGTTTTGAGGTGACTGCAGAGAATGGCCACGATTTCACCATGGCTGTAGATGATTTTTTAGGTTATACTGTTACTGCAGAAGATGTTCTTGATTTTGCCGTGACTGCAGATGGTGTTCTCAATTTTGCCATGAATGGAAGATATTCTCGATTTTACCGTGACTGCGGAAGACGTTCATGATTTTGCCATGACTGCAAATATTGTTCACTAATGTACTGCGACCATTTAAGATGTTCTTGATTTCGAATTGGACAATGTTCATAATGTTGTAACAGTCGTTTTTATTCATGCGCTAATAGGGTTATTAATTTACCCCAAAATTAATTTGGGGTATTCTCGGTCTTTGGCCAGCCTGGATTTTACACAATTGTGAGTCTAAAACTACTAGTTTTTCAAGGTATTTTTTAGACAGTTCCCCGGTTCTGCCCCCACCCACAAAATAGTGTTAATCTGCCACTGAGCCTTCACTCAAATGATCACTCCTACTACTTGTAGCGTTACATAAATTAACATAGGTCTACTCTCAAAATGTAAATTGCATCAATTGCTAGCCTAAAATGTAAATAACGGAAACAAAAATGCATTAAATTTACTTAAGTTAAAATGAGAATGGTGAATACATTTAAGATTTTATTGTAAAACATTCCTATACCCTTAGCAATATGGCCCCTGAACATGTACAGTATTTTACCTGGTGTTCAGGGGCACTCCCATATTGCTAAGAGTATGAGTAACCAAGTATAACTTATACAACCATTATATTGACCCTATTAAATAAACGGTACCAGCAATCTGACATATACGTTCTCCCATTCGCTTGTCAACAACCTTTTATCATGGGTAAGTGATGGGAGTACTACTTGACGAAAACAATACTTTCTCCATATACTATGGTTGGCCTATAGGGGGATTAAGTAAAAGTAAAAATGTTGAAAGAATGCTCTGTATGAGTGAGACTATATGTGACATTTCTCTCCCCAGACACTGTGGCAGTGATGGCAGGATATGCAGACGTCATTGTGTTGAGGCATCCACAACCTGGTGCTGTAGCTGTGAGTAAACCTTTTAAACAGCTAGGTGGACTGTTTGTAAACTGTAACATATTTTATGTCACATAGAACAAAATATAAGAGATCTGTGTCTACCAAAGTCTGTAGTGCACTCAGTGAGTGACTCGTCCAACTATATTCTTTTGATTTTAACACAAAAAATAGGCTACAGCTAGTTTACATTGATGAGATGTACATTTCAATATCCAGAAGTCAGTGATGTTACCAATAGTTCTAATTTTACAGTTCCTATATGTCCTTGTAAAATATTACAGTTTGCTTTAACCGACCTTGTTTTGAGAGCACGTCAGCTTAACCGCCGCTTTATAGGAATCTCTGCATTTCCACCCCCACGCTTGATGATTGGAACAATACGCTAAACTCTACAGGATGTTTCTAAAAATAAGTTATTTTGTATTTACCCTAAAAAATATTGCATATCCTATCCTGTCTCATAACAAAATGGCTGCTTGTATCTTTAATTTTGAGAACAAGAACTCAGTCTTTCTATTCTTAATTTATCTGATTGGTTTACAGCCAGGGTTAAAACTTAATAATTCTAAAACACAGGTGATGTCTTTTCAAACAATTCAGAATAGGCAAAATTACACTGTTGAACCATCTTATGATAATAATATTTATATCCTTTACTAAAAATGCAAAATTTTTGGGCTAACATTGAAAACATACATAATAATGGTAGTTGGTAAATTAAATACTGCTTGCTTTCAAATGTAGGCTACGTTCTGAGAAATAAAATAGATTTAAAAACTAAACTCACAGTATACTATGCAATGTTCTTTTCTGTCTTGCAATATGGGATTGAATTATGGGGGGCAACTTTTTTTCTAAGGCCGCTTCAAAATTCAGAAGAAATTTATAAGGATTTTATCATTTATGCCAAAAAGAACCTCATGCAAAGCTTTATTTGCTTAAATATGAGATATTAACTTTGCTTTCACTTTATATATAAAAATTATGGTTAGTAATTAAAATCTTCCTACGTCATGGACCTGTTTCCCTCCCTTCCCATATAGCATTTTAGTGTTTTAGATACAATTATCTAACTAACGGTTCCCACACTCCGTACTGCTCGCCTTTACTATTTCCTTCACCACTTCATACGTCGTGGACCTGTTTAAGTTTGCTATTTATGAGATGGATCCATGCATGTGATTCACCGACGGACTGTTTAAGATAAATGTTATGTTTTATAACCTTTTTTAGCCACGTAAATCAAATGTAAAATACTGTACCTAAGGTAGTACAACCACCTACCTAACCGATCTATCACCCCTAAATAAACAATGATGTACCTACTCGATCAGTGGTCGTTTCCAAATTGTGACTTAAATGTAAACTTAAGACTTTCTCTGTATTAATTGATCAGTGGTCATCATCCAAACTTTTTCCTTTGTTCTGTGTTTAGGTCGTGGCTTGATTTTTACATAAATGATTCTTTTGTTAGGATTCTTTTTTTTTACATATACGTCGTTATTTTGTAACCTTCATAGCAACCCATAAGGCCAATGTTAATATTTAAAAACTTTGAGTTACTTTTAATGATATAGGCATTATCAAAAATTGAAATTGATTTTGTCTAATAAACCATCCAAATATTTGACAAAACAACCTTGGTAAGTTTGGTTAAAATATTTTCAGCCATTATGGAGATTATGTGTTAAGATTGCATTGAAGTTGATCCCAAAAACCTTTGCTTTGCTCCGCTCAATAATGATGTTAGAAAGCCGTAAAATGTGGCAATTGATATTTCATTGCAGAGGGCTGCACAACACTGTCGCAAACCATTGGTAAATGCTGGGGACGGAGTGGGAGAACATCCAACGCAGGCGTTGTTGGATGTGTTCACTATCAGAGAGGAGATAGGAACAGTGAACGGGCTGACCATCACTATGGTGGGAGACCTCAAACATGGTCGCACCGTCCACTCACTGGCCAGGTAGACCAAGTCTGTAAGGGGTATGAATGGCAGGATATTATTTTTTACCAAGCTCTGGCTCGTGATTGTTTTTTACATTACTTTACTTCAAGCTAGGACTAGAGGTTATGTCAGTATCACTGAGGCGAAATCCATTGGTAGTTGGTGGGATTTGAGCCTGGGATCTCGTGGACCAGTCACGTGATCTACCACAAGACCAGCTCGCTCTCCTGAAAAAGGCTAGATTGGACATTCTACTGAACCCTTAAGCGAAATATGTCTAATTGAAAATTATTTATCTCCCCGATAAAATCCAAGGTGCCATTAACGAAATAAACATGGATAATAGTGATGGTCGGATCTGGATATCGGACTACCGGATCCGCCGGATCCAAGCTAGAACCGGCACCGGATCGGATCCGAAAAATTCCGGATCTTAGGCTGGATCCGGTTTTGATGGATCCGATTTTTTCAAATTTTTTTCCTAACACAAAGCTGTATGTATCACTGTACAACCCCGATTTTTTTACCAACACAAAGCAGTCTGTATCACTGTACAACCCCGATTATTTTATTAACAGAAAGCTGTCTGGATCACTGTACAACCCCGATTTGTTTACTAACATAAAGCTGTCTGTATCACTGTACAACCCCGAATTTTTTACTAACATAAAGCTGTCTGTATCACTGTACAAACCCGATTTGTTTACTAAAATAAAGCTGTCTGTATCACTGTACGACCCCGATTTGTTTACTAAAATAAAGCTGTCTGTATCACTGTACAACTCCGATTTGTTTACTAAAATAAAGCTATCTGTATCCATGTAAGAGACCGATTTTCCCCCGATTTGTTTACTAACACAAAGCAGTTTGTATCTCTGTACAACCACGATTTTTTTACCAACACAAAGCAGTCTGTATCACTGTACAACCCCGATTTTTTTACTAACACAAAGCTGTCTGTATCCATGTACAAGACCGTTTTTCCCCCGAGTGTTTGTCTCTTGATGCAAACAACTTATATGGCTAGGCCATGTCTCAATGTTTGTCTCTAGATGCAAATAACTTACATGGCAAGGCCATGACTCAGTGTTTGTCTCTAGATGAAAATAACTTATATGGCAAGGCCACGTCTCGATGTTTGTCTCTAGAAGCAAATAACTTATATGGCAAGGCCATGACTCAGTGTTTGTCTCTAGATGCAAATAACTTATATGGCTAGGCCATGACTCAGTGTTTGTCTCTAGATGCAAATAACTTATATGGCTAGGCCATGTCTCGATGTTTGTCTCTAGATGCAAATAACTTGTATGGCAAGGCCATGTCTCGATGTTTGTCTCAGATGCAAATAACTTATATGGCTAGGCCATGTCTCGATGTTTGTCTCAGATGCAAATAACTTATATGGTTAGGCCATGTCTCGATGTTTGTTTCTAGATGCAAATGTCTCGATGTTTGTCTCTAGATGCAAATAACTTATATGGCTAGGCCATGTTTCGATGTTTGTCTCTAGATGCAAATAACTTGTATGGCAAGGCCATGTCTCGATGTTTGTCTCAGATGCAAATAACTTATATGGCTAGGCCATGTCTCGATGTTTGTCTCAGATGCAAATAACTTATATGGCTAGGCCATGTCTCGATGTTTGTCTCTAGATGCAAATAACTTATATGGCTAGGCCATGTCTCAATGTTTGTCTCTAGATGCAAATAACTTATATGGCTAGGCCATGTCTCGATGTTTGTCTCTAGATGCAAATAACTTTTATGGCAAGGCCATGTCTCGATGTTTGTCTCAGATGCAAATAACTTATATGGCTAGGCCATGTCTCGATGTTTGTCTCTAGATGCAAATAACTTATATGGCAAGGCCATGTCTCGATGTTTGTCTCTAGATGCAAATAACTTATATGGCTAGGCCATGTCTCGATGTTTGTCTCTAGATGCAAATAACTTGTATGGCTAGGCCATGTCTCGATGTTTGTCTCTAGATGCAAATAACTTATATGGCTAAGCCATGTCTCGATGTTTGTCTCTAGATGCAAATAACTTATATGGCTAGGCCATGTCTCGATGTTTGTCTCTAGATGCAAATAACTTTTATGGCTAGGCCATGTCTCGATGTTTGCCTCTTGATGCAAATAACTTGTATGGCTAGGCCATGTCTCGATGTTTGTATCTAGATGCAAATAACTTATATGGCTAGGCCATGTCTCGATGTTTGTCTCTAGATGCAAATAACTTTTATGGCTAGGCCATGTCTCGATGTTTGCCTCTTGATGCAAATAACTTAAATGGCAAGGCCATGAGTCAGTGTTTGTCTTTTGATGCAAATAACTTATATGGCAAGGCCATGTCTCAGTGTATAAGATATATTAACCTTTAAACATTATCGATTTAATTTTAAACAGTATGATTTAAATTGGCATTCTGTTAATTACGTTTTTTTTAACCCGCCCTTATGACAGTGTGTATCTTTGGATCCGGATCCGAATTTTTCAAGATCCGGATCCGGAACCGACATTTTCTTGGATCCGCCCATTATTAATGGATAATGTGCCAATTATTTGATATGTTCAACCTTTCATATTATTTCAGTTCCCTGAAGAGATAATGATACAAATAGGTTTCAATTTTACATTAGTTTATTACATGTAGTTCTTGAAACCAAGAAAAGAACACCTTGATTTGTATCTTGAACCCAACATTGTATTAAGGGGTAAGCTTATGGTATATACAAATTATTTAATTCAAAGACCTTAATCCATTTAATATTGTCACTGCATTGCATTATTATTACTAATCTGTTTATACTTAAACAATGTAAACAGTACAGTAAATAAGTGCGCCTAAACTGTTTGCTGTGTTGCAGACTACTGACCCACTACAACGTACAGCTGCAGTATGTGAGCCCTGCAGGTCTGGGCATGCCTGATCACGTCATTGAGTACGTAGCCTCCAAGGGCATCTCTCAGCAGGAGTACAGGACATTGGAGGAGGTCCTTCCTGACACCGATGTCCTCTATATGACCAGGATACAGAGAGAACGGTTCTCCTCTCACGAAGAGTATGATAAGGTAATGCCATAATGATTGATATTTAACTTATTGGGTATGTTTTCTGGGAGCTTTCCTTACATGGAAACTAGGTTTAAAGTTTAAATTATTTAAAAGGTAACAGTTTCCATGTTAAAAAGGAACGCCACATACTTTCTCCCGTTAGCTTGTCAACATCCCTCGTCATGGGCAAGCAATGGGGGTCACTGTGATATTTTATGGAGGAATTCACAAAAGCTGCAATAACCTTTGAACCACAATTTTTACGGCATAATAGGGGGTTGTACCATTTTGTTTAGAGTAAAAGGGCCATAACAAAAAATCTAAATTTAAATCAAAATCGTTTGAGCCGTTTTTGTAAAAATTTAACTTTTTTATTTGTGGGTAAAAAAATTACCATTCAAAAATATTTAAAAAAATTCAAAACTCAAATATATTTCGATTATTATAATCGATGCAACTCGATTAGAGAAAAATGCTGTATTGCTTCGAATCGATGCCTTAATAAACGAATGTGGGTTTTTATTTATTTACCAACATTGTTTTAATTTGTTTTTACAACTTTTATTGGGCTTTCCTTATAAGTAGCCTATATTAGTCGCCGGGAATTTCGTACTTTTTAGCCAGGAAAACGGGGAAAAATGTGTGAATTTTGTTTATAGATTCTGCTGACAACCCTGGTTTGGTTCTACTCGGTTTTAAATGGCTAGTTCTTGTGGAAGGTAGAATTATTATACCATATGCTACTCCAGGTTCCAGTTGTATTCTATCATAATGGCTGACGAATTAAGTGAATTTGATGGTTAACTATGTTTGATAAATTTGATTTGTCTCATTTATTACCTGCCTGTTTTTAAGTGTCTGTCTCTCAGTGTTTTCACAAAAAAATTCTCATATTTAATATTAATTGTGTTGATGTTGATAGTATTGAAGTTAGTTGCAGTAAATGTGTCGATTCTCGATACCGATTCTATATACCACCAAATACTTGATATATAGAATAGAATTGTTGGAATTGATTTTGAGAATCGATCGTCAAAAGTTGATTCCGATATGGATACCTGTTACACCCGTGTGATCAGAAAATTACCACTATTGCTGTGACCGCGGGAGATGATGATGACGTCTACACAGGCACGGGAAATGTTCATTATTTTGCCGCGATCGCGGAAGACAACAATGAAGTTTCTGTGACCGTGAAAGACGATAATGATGACAACCATACCGGCGCGGAAGATGTTCATGATTTTGCCACGATCTCGAACAACGACGATGAAGTTTCTGAGATTACGAAAGATGATGATGACAGCGTCTACACCGGTGAAGAAGATGTTTATGATCTCTACACGGCCGCGGAACATGTACTTGATTTTCCCGTGATCGCGGACGACAACAAATACATTTCCATGTCCAGTAGAGACGATGATAACGTCTACACGGGCGCGGAAGATGTTCATGAGTTTTCTGCGATCGCGGAAGACGATGATGATGTCTTCACGGCCTCAGGTGACGATGATGACGTTTCCTTGACCGTGAGAGATGATTATGACATTTCCATGAGCTGCAAGAGAAGAAGATGATGTCTACACGGCCGCTGGAAACCATCGTGATTTTGCCGTGATCGCGGACGACGACGATGAAGTTTCTGTGACCCCGAAAGACAATGGTGAAGTCCATACGGCCGCGGGAGATGTTCATGAGTTTGTCACGATCACGGAAGATGATGATGATGTCTACACGGCCTCAGGTGATGTTAAATAATTTTGCCGTGATCACACAGGATGACGATGACATTTCTGTGACCGTAGGAGTTGATGATGATGTCTAAACGGCTTTGGGAGATGTTCATTATTTTTCCAGAGCCAAAAAAGACAGTGATGTTTCCCTAATTTGTTTCTGTAATTGAGCAAGATATTTAAAATTTTTCAGTGATCCCAGAGAGCAAAGAACACACAACCGCTGGCGGTGAAGTATAACCAATCCATTCAGAAAATTTGGTAAAATAATTTTAAAAATGGTATCTGTATCGAGAATCGATCTTTCAGGAATCGGTATAAGTATTGACAATCGATCAATTTTGGTATCGACACATCACTACAAGACTAAAGTGTAGGTAATATGTAATCTAATCCTTCATGTAGGCTTGTGGCCAGTACGTGGTGACTCCTCAGCTGTTGACCAAGGCCAAACGCAAGATGGTGGTGATGCATCCTCTACCTAGGGTGTTTGAGATTAGTGTTGAGCTGGACTCGGACCCCAGGGCTGCCTACTTCAGACAGGCAGAGTGTGGACTCTACGTCCGCATGGCACTGCTAGCCATGGTCCTCGGAAGAGCCTAACTACTTATCTTCCCTCTAATCTAGCCACCGTCATCACGTAACGAAACATTCCATGATTTGCTCAATTTGTTTGAATATTTTATAGTAAAATATATTATGATTTCATAATGAGTGCACTTTTTTGCCTTTCATCTCAATGTGACATTTTGAAATTTTATAAAATTTTGTGTATAAAGGGTGATTAATTTAAGGAGGCCACCATTGGGATATCGGAAACAGTAGGAATTGGAGAATACTTTAAATGGGGGATTTTCCTTTAATTTTTGTAGAAGTTAAAAATATGAATTTATCTACTTTGTTGAAATTCAGCCGCCATTTTCCAATATGGCGGCCAACTTTGAAAATTCTTAAGGAACACCCTATATTTTATCATGTTTTGGGATAGAACATGCAATTTAGAAACTTTTTTATTCTAGACATTTTTTCCATAAATCCACTAGTTTAGGAGTTACAGCCAATAAGAAAATGACTTCCGGTGTACATTTTGCATCATTTAGCTCCTAAACGAGTAGGTTTATAGCGAAAATGGGAAGAGTAAATAAGTCTTAAAATTGCATCCACATTCCATAAAGACCATGAAATACGTACAAAATATGTATTCTATTATTTCAAAAATGGCGGCCGTTTTCCAAAATGGCAGTAAACTTGAAAACAGGAAAACTGTCTTTTTGGAATGTAGATACAATTTTAAGACTTATTTACTCGTCCCATTTTCGCTCTAAACATACTCGTTTAGGAGCTACATGATGCCAAATGTACACAGGAAGTAATTTTTTCATAGGTGTAACTCCTAAACGAGTGGGTTTATGGAAAAAATGTCTTGAATAAAAAAGGTTTTGAATTGCATGTTCTGTCCGAAAACAAAAAATATGATAAAATATGCGTGTTCCCTAAGAAATTTCAAAGTCGGCCGCCTTATTGCAGAATGGCGGCTGAATTTCAAAAAAACTAAATTCATATTTTGAACTTCCACAAAAAATTAAGGAATGTCCCCTACTTAAAGTTTTCTCTAATTCTTACCGTTTCCAATATCCCAATGGTGGCCTCCTTGAGTTGATCACCCTGTATATTATTATGTTATGATACAAATATTCAACTTAATGTCATATGTCCACTTACTTTAGTAATTATCTAATTAACTGACGCTGTTGAACTTCCATTACATTGTTTAGTTGAGGCTTAACAAGTAAGATCTTCATGTTTGCAATCTAAATTCTACCCATAACATCCAAACTTTGATATTTTCGTCGTCCTCAATTGACATCTGAGTGAATCAGCTTTTAGAGATGGGAGTTGTAAAATTACATGTTAACTATTTTACTTGTAAATAGCAAACAATTAAATTATATAGCTGCTTTTAAATATGAAATGAGCATTGCTTTCACTAAGTACAAATATTTGTTTAGGCTTGTATTTAGCCAGACTCAAAAATTATCTATATATTATCTTAACGGGAAAATAAACAAAAACATATTATTATTATAGTAGTTTTCAGTCATTAAATGAGCCAAATTTCAATACTGTATAGATAGAGTAATGGTTATGTTCTCTACTAAAACTTAAAACATCCTTGTACTTTTATTTAAAAACAAAAAATAATTTTTATCTCATGCGATTTTTTTACATGTTATCAACATCAACATTATAAGAACAAGAGAACCCAGTTCAATAATTACAACGAGAATGATGTAAAATCGTTTGCTTCTGTCATGTATTTTATCTTATGTACATGTTGTTCATAGAAAACAAACACGAGAAATCAAAGATGGTATCAATCTTTCTGGTCTCCGTACTGAAATATAGTCATTTTCATAGAATGTATACAATGTCTTTAACAACAACAAATGTATAGAAGAAGATTTGTTTATTTTTATCTTTACATTTAAGTCTTACAATGGTTTTAAAATAAATGATTCATTTAAAAATTAATTATCCATCTTATAATATAATAATCATGTTGGACTTACACGGAAGCTCTAGCCGACCCATGTGAAGCATTCACACTGTATCTTTAAATACTTTAAATACTTTCCTATTAAATGGTGACCATACAAAGTAGGTATTTCAAGTCAAGTATGAATGGAGATGAGTGTAGGATGAGTGGCGCAATCTTGTAGTCTTGTTTGTGGCTAAGGCCGACATTCCTTAGACACAGCTGTTAATTAATAGCCCATACAGCTAATGGCAACTAAGGGACCTACAGTTTATAGTGGAATCCGAACCACATTTTTACTTTCTCCCCCTAATGGAGAAAGTATTGTTTTCGTCAAAATTTTCGAGTTTGAGTTTTGAGTGGATATATTCGTTTTGGGTCCCCCTGGACCCAAAAAAGTGGTTTTCGAAGTGATGTCTGTGTGTGTGTGTGTTTGTGTGTCTGGATGTGTACAGAGCTAGGGACTACACCTGTGGTCTGATTTTGATGAAATTTGGTATGTAGGTTCTACCATGGATATGATGACGTTTCCGTGACTCTCGGGATAAGACTACGATGTCTACACGGCCACAGGAAATATATTTGTAGCATAGAATACATACAGAAATGGTGTCAAATACGGGTATTGAAAAACAAAGGTTTCTTAGAATTAACAATGCAAAAATTAACATTACTTTGTATAACTCATCAAAAGAATAAATAGCTTTGTTGATGAGGTACTGCTTCAATTTAATTTTGAATTATTTAGTTGACGCCTTATCTGAGACATTTCTGTGACCGCGGGAGACGACGATGACATCTACACGGCAGCGTGAAATATTCCTGATTTTGCCGCAATCGTGGAAGACGACAACCACGTTTCTGTGGCCACGAAAGATGGGAATGATGACGTCTAAACGGCCGCGGAAGATTTTCCTGATTTTGCCGCGATCCATGATGACGTTTCCGTGACCGCGGGGAACTACGATAATGTCTACATAACAGCGGGAGATGTCCAGGATTTTGCCACGATTATGGATGACCGTCATGTTGTTTACATGACCGTGGGAGGTGACCTCACGACTGCTGGAGATATTCAAGATTTTGTCGCCGATGATAATTTTTTCATGAACGAGACGATGCAGAGACGATCGTTTTTTAAACCGTTTGCGTTTCCTGTTGGTAACAAATTCGACACAAAAAACAATTTTTTGTTGAATAGTCTTAAATTTTTTTGCACAATATGGCTCTTAAATGAGTTAATTGATTCCAGCGTAACTGAAAACTCTAGATTAAAAATTATACCTGAAAATTTTTTATTGAACCTCTCTTGGCATAAAACCAAAAGTTTACTTTTAACATATTATTCTACAGTATAAGATACTCGTTGACCTTTAAAACCGCCATGTTGAGTCTTTTTTGCAGTAAATTCTTTGTACACAGTATCACTAAACCTCATAGATAACTATGCAACAATGCATATCAGCTGATAGACAAATAATTAAAGAAAACAGGGATATCAACTTACAGTAAAACTACTTTTAATTTGGGTTGTGTTTTAATAAAAAAATCCTGTACTTCTGTTAGAAGAAAATTAAGTATATTATGCATGCCAATTTTATTTTCTATTTGATAAATTTAGATTGTATAATGATTATACAAAAGGTTGATGGTATGGAACAAAATTCATCATTTGTTAAATCATTCTCAATTCAAAATTACGCATTCAGTAGGTTTCAGTAAAGTTTGCTATCCATTTAAAAGGTCATTTAATCACAAATTTTTAACTTTGTTTTTTTTTCATAATTGGACTATGGATGTAATAAAAAATGCCTTGAAAACTACCACCATCACTGTATAAAAATAAACACAATTTTATTTCTAAAAACACTACAACTCAAATAATACAACGCGCACAAAGAACGACACAGGAATAATAATTTATCACAAAACTGTACAGAGGCTATTTACATTAGAAATGTGGGAATGATTTGGGAAACATTTTCCCTTGTAACCTATATGTGTCCTGATCATTCTCTTCTTCTTCGGGTATTGTCACAAAATACGGAAACTTGCGTTTTATTTTGGGGTACTTGGAGTCAGCTTTGTTTTTTGACGTGTACATGTTGATGGTTGTATGTCTGCTGTTGGATAGCAGAGAGTCTTTTTCCTGTGAAGACTCACCAAAAGGCTTCATTTGATAGAGATACCAAGGAACTGCGAAGGGTGTTGAACTGGTATTCCACTCATATGGGTTGTACCTTTTCCTGGAAAGTGTAGAAAATGAAAATAAGCTTCGATAAAACATGTTAGAACCTTTAAAAAATTATTTTGAAATCTGTATTGTTTTTACTAAGATATTACGGTATTTTTTATATTAGTAATTCTTTTTAACTACATATAACTAATAATATATATAAGTAAGAAATAGTAATAAAGAGCACACAAACTCAGTTTTTAATTATAGATTTACCCCACTTTCTGTCAGCAAAAAAATAATGGCAAAAATATATTTGATTCTATCACCCAACCCTAACCTAACAAATCAAAAATTAATTTGACTGAAGGAGTAAATGCAATATAGACCCCAATGTTATATGTTCAATAAGTTTCATTTTAATATTTAACGGAGATTGGTTCTGGACCCTGTTGCCATCAACAAAAGGTTGATGGTAAGTAGCGACTAGACCAGGGTTTGGGCTGTTTGCTTACGAAACCTGTAAACAGTACCAACGGCTTGGATAAACAACAAAAATCAATATTATTTAATAATTCTTTAGATCTAATATAGAGTTCTTACCTTTTTCTTCTTTCGCAGTAAAGTCCAAGAACCATAAAAATGCAAAATGTGAGGAACATTCCTGCCAACACCGACATAGAGATGATGTCATACACCGACAGTTGTCCTGCAGGTAATACTGGGAGTGCACTAGGTATTGCTGTAACAAACGTAAAAGTTAATACAATGTTGTTATGGACATGAAGGTTATGCAGTGAGCCCGATTAGTTGTCTTATAAATACACGGGATAACTTGGCACAGCCGAAACAAGACAACTTCATGATACACTAACACTGACAAAGAGATTATATCGAAGACACACTGACACATTAGTTAAAAACTAAATTTAGAGGATAATTTATAGTGTTTTAGAGCTGTGAAGGAACAGATATTCAACCTTTTAACTCTTCCAACAAGAATAATTTGCACACTGTTTACCCTTTGGGTCATATTATTTAGTTTCATATTTATTTAAATTCCATAACTGACAATTTCTAAATACATCATCTTTGTATGCCTAATGGCAGAATAAAAATCTCTAAACCTTGTTAGCGAATTTCCCATATAGGGAATAAGCTATTACCGTAGTACTCATGGTAAGACCTGGACCCGAGACCGATCTAATTTTTCATTTTGAGGTCCCTAGAGGCCAAAAACACCATCCGTTCAAATTCATATATATATATGTGTCCGTTAGCGCGATAACTCGAGCAAAAATGATCCGATTTTGGTGAAATTTGGTACAAACGTGTAAACCTACGTTTATTCGAACGAGTTCGCGATCCAGCATAATCGGACCATGGGAATGGGGGATTATGGGGGGTTTTATGGGGTAAAAATGGGTTTTTCCCATTTTTTAACCTAAAAACAAAAAATTTTGCGATTTCTTTCTAAAACGTTTTGTAGATCTTAAAAAAATAAATAATTTAGTATATTGAAACGCTGTTGTATGCCTAACGGTCACGGAGAAAATTCAAAAATAGTGTAATTAAAAATTCCCATGTTATTCTTATATGGAAAATGAAAATTGTTGTAGTTTACTTGTTTATGGGCATAAATTGATAAAATTTGGCAAATTTATTTATTTCATCCTATACTATTGATGTATGGTCAAAAAACACTTTTTACCTTCCCCGTAGCAGCAAACCTAAGCACTTGTTAAATCTAATGTTATTTAAATAGGGAATAATATGTCTAATTTATGGAAATATTTTAGTAAAAATGTAATCAGACAAGTTGAAATTCGCTTAGTCTGCAGGTTTGCTGCGGCGGGGGTATTTTTCTTTAGTAACATAATTCCTCTTAAATAATCTCAACTACCCAAAATGGCTTTGTCAGATGTTAATAAAATTAATAATGGACAAAGATTTTTTGAGGCAAGAATGATAAGTTTATTACATGATAGCAGAGTTAAGAGAGTTAGCAGCAGAGTTAGTTTAAAAACTTATTTTATAAGCGTAATTTCAACTTAAATTTAAAATACTGTTATCAGTATTTTATTTAAATCAATGGTACGGTAGTCCATTATCTATAAACCTCAACATTTTTCATTTGACTGAATATAATAAAATAAAAGTAAAAACATCTAACAATTTTTATTCAATTGTGAGGGTAGATACATACACAGATATTTTTATTAGAAAAGTTAAATGAAATAAAGTGCCATTTCTTTTTTAAAAATGTCATTGCATTAACATTCTGCAAGCGTAGTTTTACTTTTGCCTAACCAAGACACCTTTTTCAATAACACAGTAAGTCCATATTCTCTGTAGGCCTACCTACTAAGCCCTAATATGAAAACACCATAAACTGAGCCACGTGACTTAACTGATAACCTTACAGCAAACAACAGGGACAACGCATATCAAACAAGGAAGATAGCTGACAAAGGAGGTGATGCAAGGCAACTCTCACACTGATATCTGCTTCTGCAAACTGTGATATCACAACCACGTGACTATTAGTGCAAGAAAGATTCAAGGGACACTTACATTTCAAACCAAACCAAAGTAAACTTTTGATTTTTGAAGAAATTTTCCTTTTGCCAAAAAGTCAGGTATAAATTTCAGTAATAGAAAATATTGAATTTGCTAACTTTGCAAAGTAGTTAAGCAATGACAAATTTTATATTTTTACTTTGCCACAACTTTATTCTAAAAAAATAATTATACGTTACTGATGACACAATAACAATACAATATGACTTTAGGTAATAAATGTATTACAAACTTCAACTTTGATAAACTTATTACTAAGTTCATTGGTAAAGTTATCAAATAAAGTGGGTTATCTGCTACCGATGTTTCAAAATTTTTTTAATGACCGCGTTCATATTGCAGCAAGTAAAGTTCAATGATATTTAATTTACAATAGAACAACTAAATAGCCATATTTAACGGTTTAAAATGGAAACTTCCAATAAAATTTTTTTCTCCACTGAAAGGGCCATATAAAAATTTTGAAAATTGTTTAAAGAATATTTAAAGGTTGTAGCTGTGTCTATCAGCTGACGTCCTGAAATGAATTTATAACAACTTATCTTATAATTTTTTGAAGATTAGAAAAACAGTAAAATAAGATTGTAAAAATAGATACAGTATTTATTTAACCACGGGGGGCTTGATAAACCAAGAAAGTTTAGTAAAACAGAGTCTACTCTGCCTGGCGTTGAGGATACCATTCCGACATTCTCTTAAGTGAGGAAAGCAACCATACAAACTTTTACCTCAGAATGGAAAATCTGATAATCACTCAGACCTCTCGAATGTGAAGAGACATCACATAACATGCTGCATTTACATAGTATACATTAATAATCTTCTTAAGAACTTCTATATATTGTTCTTCTAATTCAGTTGTTGTCAAATATTTCTTCTTTGTTCACAACTCTCATCTTCAAATTTACCTTAATTTCATCTTCTATCATTGTATTTATTCAATTTTTAATTACAATTATTGATCTTGGATTCATTTCTATTGAGTCAAGTATTTTATTTTAACTGATTTCCTATTATTTTAACTTGTTTAATCCTTATCTTGTATTGTACAGTACCCTAGCTTTTATCCCGCAGCATAGCTTGAGTAGTTTTTACAACTGTAAAGTCTACAATGCCTACCCTACAACCTTGTACAATAATACACCCCAAAGAACAATCAAATGGTGTCCCAAAAAGAATGAATCAAATCTACAGCTTAAGATACGAGTTACCAAGGGTCGTAGAAAAGCAAACTATGGCTAGTTTTAAAGCTTACATCTTTAAGTATTTTTTGGTACCCTTCAGTACAATAACAGTAGGGCTAATCAGCTGTTCCATTGTTAACCTGTTTTAATTTCCAAAACATTAAGTTTGAAATATGTAATTACAGTTTTTGATTTATATATATACTAGCTGTAACCCGCGGGCTGCTTTGCCCCGTTTAACTTCTTAATTTTCAAGATTATCTCGTTCGCATGGCTCAATCACGTCCTGGTTAAAGTTTGTTCGCTACGCTCACTCACCTTTAGGTTGGAGCTCGTTCGCTGCGCTCACTTGCCTTCAGGTTAGCTCGTTCGCTACGCTAACTCGCCTCCAGGTTGAAGTTCGTTCGCTACGCTCACTCACCTTTTGGTTGCAAATTAGCTGTTGTCATAAATGTAAAAGAAATAATAGTGCTGCACCCTTTTGGTAATCCTTGTAACTTTAATGCTATTGAACATCATAGAACAGAACCAACTTGTTTAATTGAAACAGCTGTTAAGATTCAATAATTCCATTTCTCATAAGGTTAACATGGGAAACTCCAGAGCCACTGGGGCGGAGCCCGAAAGGATTTTTGAAATAAGAATATGCCTATATGTTAATCGGGAATGTGAGCTATCATCATGCCAAATTTCAGCCCAATCCGACCAGTATTTTTCGCGTTCACTTGTCACAAACATACATCCATACATCCATCCATACATCCAAACTTTCTCATTTATAATATTAGTAGGATTAGTAGGATATAAAATCCAATGTATGTTTGTTTGTTTGTCCTTTATGGACTCCGAAACCGCTCGACAGATTGTAATGAAACTTTCAGGTATTTTTAAGCATTATTCAAGGATGGTTTGTGTGAAGTTTGTTGCAGATTCGTCAAAAGGGCTCCACCCCAGTGGCTCTGGAGTTTCCCATGTTAAACTTATGAGTACTCACTCATATTTAAATGGAATTAAAGAATCTTAACAGCTGGTTCAACTAAACAATTTGATTCTGTGATGTTCAATAGCATTAAAAATGTAATAGGTTTACCAACAGGGTGCAGCACTATTATTTTTTTAAATTTATGGCAACAGCTAATTTGCAAACGAAAGGTGAGTGAGCGTAGCGAACGAACTTCAACCTGGAGGCGAGTTAGCGTAGCGAATGAGCTAACCTGAAGGCAAGTGAGCGCAGCGAACGAGCTCCAACCTAAAGGTGAGTGAGCGTAGCGAACGAGCTTCAACCAGGACGTGATTGAGCCATGCGAACGAGCTTATCTTGAAAATGAATGAGCATTTGACATAAAACCAAATTAGGACAGGACGTCTGTCGGGCCAGCTAGTATAGAGATAAAATCTGTGGTGTGAATTTCATTCCTTAGGGTTTGTGAAACATCAAGTTTGGATATCGTCATTGACATATTCAATGATATCGCTCACCGTTCTCAAACATAGGATGAACTTAAAGCAAAGATAAAGGAAGCATTTGGAAAATACCTATCTAATGAAATGTGCCACAATGCTCAAATGTATGAAAGCTGAAACATTGACTTGACTTTCTTCGACTAAAACATGATGATCGGAGAACATGATAATTGGAGAAGGTTAGGTGGTGTAACAATGGTAGGACAAACTTTTGATGTTAAGGAAAAAAATTTATAAAAAGTTAACTTTTTTATCTTTAGTTATAAAGTATTTATGTCAACTTACTTACTTTTGATCAATTCTTTTTGGGACAACCAGTACATTAGAGTTTAAAAGTGTTAAAATATCTTTCTAGCACAATCAATAATTTCGGAAACTAAGTATAGCAAGTGAAAGTGGGAGTTTAGAAGGTAAATTTAATTTGAGAGTGCAAAGCCCCAGAGAATGATCTCCTGGAGGGATGATAACCCTCAGTAACTTGATATGGACCTTCTTCAATATTTAGAGTGGTGCTATTGCTGGACAATGGATTCGGGGACTGGAATTTTTATTTTAGGAGATTGAATCAGTTTGATTTCCATAGGCCTAATTCTCTCATAGAGATCAAATGGTTAGAAAAATACGGAAGTACCAGCTCGTTAAAAAGTTTGCTGCGTTCAACGTTTAAATGATTTCAATTTTTATAAACATTGTTATAATTACAGAATTTTTATCATCCATTGCAAGAAAGATAACAAAATCAAATTTGTTTGACCGCAAATTTCCAAACAACAACAATTGTATGGGTTTGACGTCATGAAACTGAATAATTAGATAATACTGTAATGATAAAAGTGATTTACATTATCATCAGGTTTATTTTTAAAAACCGCTGGCGTTAGCAAACATACTTTTGAGCTCTCATTCTTTCTTTCTTTGATAGGACATCTTGCTTGTAGGTTTTAACTATGTTATGATACGTTTTTAATTTTTTTAATTAGAAGAAAATATACTGGTGAAATTATTCATACTGATGACACCTCAATTCAATTTGAAAATTGTAATGTTCCTAGAAATATTTACCCATGAAACAAAATAAAAGGTTGTCCCTCTGAAGAAAGTTCCTGCGATTCCCATGGTGGTCATAAAAATAAGCTTGATAGAATTTGAAAACTATACTTACATAACTTTAATATTTTGTGTTGTTTTTTACTTAATTTTGTAAAATTTTCACAGAACATGTAATAGTAGCCCGTATATTACTGATCAATTGATTTGAATGATTCTTAGAGACACGTTCATCGATAGATGGGCTATTTTTTTTATCTTAGAATTTCCATAGGAACGACTGATGACCATTAAAAAAGCTTGGTCTGGCCTCATACACACAGGTCGAGAATCAACATTTAATATTACACTTTTTGTTTGAAATGTTCATCTATATACTATTATAAAATTTAGGTGGTGTCTGTCTGTTCTCTGTTTGTCTGAGTGGCTGTCATGACTAAAATACTAAACTGATGTAGCCAAAACTAAGCACAAATATGGTCCACATATCTAGGAATGTCTTAGACCTATTCATTCCCTCAGTTTTCCTCGGGCTACGCACCTTGACATAGCCTCCTCTTATACGAGGCCGCGGCACTAGTATCAAGAATCAAGAGTTTTGTTGTAATTGACAAAGTCAACAGAAATAAAGACTAGAACTAGAAAAATAGTGGGTTCTAAATTAAAAATCCATGTTAAACATTAGACATTAAATACTCTGTTACAAAATAATATAGATTGTTGATCATCCACTCAAACATTTTGGACTTAAACCTATTGAAAGGAACCAGTTTTGCTGCCAAACCTAATTTAAAAAAAAAAACCAAATGTCATTTTTTATGACAATTATATTTTTTGGCCAATCTATGGGCAGGGATATCTAGAGTGGATTTGCCTCTTGTATTGTAAGAATGTATACTCTCTCTACAGGTGAATTGATAAAGATTAGCTTTAGAGTAGAGGAGTACGTTAAAAATATACAAATTTACTACGGTCATAATTTTAAGGTTTACAAAAAAATTTGACAGCTATCCACAGGGATGATGCTATCTCCCCCCACAGACTGTTTGTATAGCTTTTTTGCTTTTAAAGAATTTTATGGGTGTGGGGGGAGTATCCCCATAGTATAATCCCGTAAAAAGTATGTGATTGAAAAAACCCAAAATAAGTAACACGAAGGTATTTATTGCTAACAAAATCTCTTGCGTTTTCAAATTAGATAATTTACTCTGGAAATTCTTTTACATGTAATTTCTAAGTGCTCTTGCCAATTTCAAATCAATTTGGAAACCTAATAACTTTACTGCTGACTTTAATTGATTGTAAAGTGGGGGATATACTCAAGAGAATTTTCTTTGTTTTTTCCTTATTACAAATCATATTATTTGAAGAAAACCAATTTGCTGATGTTATTGATTCATTAGTAATTAAATCAAGCTCATAGCTCATGAATATCTCTATGTGTTGCAATCAAAGTTGTGTCATCAGCATATACAACAGTGTCTACATCAACATTCCTCGGCAGGTCATTTATCTAGATTAAAAACAAGAAGGGTTCCAAAACTGACCCTGTGCAGCCCTGTGGAACAACTACTTCAACCAATCTGACTGATTGCCTCCACAGATACATGCATTCTATTGATTAAATAAAATTTCAATATTGATTAAATAAAATAAAGTTTCACTGTAATACTAAAAAATTCAAGTTTTTTGAATAAAATATCAAAAGGTAGAGTCAAAAAGTTTTAGGAGATCAAATAAAGTTAATGAAACAGTTTTTTATGTTTTCAAATACGTTTAAATTTATTCATTTTTTATTTGTTTATTAATCGCAAATGAATTTCTATTGCCTTGGTAATAACAAAAATAAGAAAAGTGTAAATATAAACATTTAAGATTCAATGAGCCGTTCAGTTGTTTACAATTGGCAAAAGTCACTAAAACTAACAAAAACTGAGTGCATTTCCTCTTGACTCACAATCAACAAGTATTCTTTACTCTCCATTGTAAATTAGTGCTACAGCTTTTTCGGTTTGCCTGGATAGCAATGTTGCCACTTTTGTCTTGCCGCAGCCTTGTATTAGAGGAGGCTGTGCTTGTAATACAAATTAGTTATCAGCTGTTTGATATTGTGAACATTTTTATTTGTTTATATTTGGATAATCTTTATTGATTCTTGTTGTCATGGAGAAAATAATATTTACTAGTGAGTATTATTGTTCTAATGTGAAATGAATGTTAGTTTGTTAAAGCATTAAATATCTTTTACCTAACCCGCCATGTTAAACTTCCCTATCCCAAGCGTGATGTATATAACTTCGTTACTTCTCGAGTGATGTAAAGTTGAAAAAAAAACTCACTCGGTAATGTAATGAAACCGATTTAAATAACATTGAGTGCTTAACTTAAAAAATATACCTCTATGGAGCCAACGACGTTCAACGCTAGAAATCAGCTGTGCGCTTGAATTTTATTGTTATGTTTTGAAGAATTTTCCTAACCTAGCTTTTGTTTGTAAATGAATGTTACTGTTAGAAGATGAGTGAAATGGATAATGAAAAATATTGTTCGTAACCTATTGTATATTGTCGGGTCAGGTAAAATCTTGTACGTTACACGTTACGCAAGAGCGTGTTTACATCACTTCGGTAAATTATGCAACTCGCTTCCGCTCGTTGCACAACATTCACCTGCGTGGTGTAAAAACCCTCTTACTACACTTGTAAGGTAAATAGCTATTATTATTTGTCTTTAGTTTGAATGTTGAATTAATTTACAGAGACTATCTGACATACATTCTAAGTTTTGAGGTGAGGTTTTCAAAATTAAAAATTGATTGGTCTCCATGGCAGGACAAGAAATTTTACAATGTTTAGCCATTGACTATTGGATACTGAAGTAGAAATATGGATCTATATGGACCAGCTGTCACCATTTTTTTACTAAAAAAATCATAGTTGCAAAGAAGATCGTTGCAAAGCATGGGTACAGCAGCTGGTATTCATTAAAATTAACTGTCCAAACAATGAACTCAATATTGTAAGAGCAAACAAATTTGATTGATTATACATTAAAGTACCTATGCAAATTTTGATGTTGATGATAACTCACCAGCTGAGATAGCATCCTCAGTAGGCACAGGTGCCACTGGTGGTACGACAACAGGTGCCACTGTGACATTAGCCATGTCTGACCTGAGAGTTACTCACTGACTGACCAGCTGTCTGCCGTTATCTCTTATCACTACCGAGGTCACGTTCATCTATACATCACCAGACTTTACTCCTTGAGTGATATCACTATCTTTGCTATATTGAGGGGTTTCAGATTATCACTTGTTTATTAGAAAGAATTTTCCTTCCTTTAAATGGGAAACAGGTTGTATTGGGTACAAGGGTTTTGTTAAGTAAAAATTAAATTTATTTCTTTCCACTATAAAAGGTATACAAATTTGTCAAAAAGATCTTTTTAGTTTCCTATGGTTACTGACAGTTGTAATTACAAACTTTTTGGGACAACATTGACCACTTTATACATGGTGTCCCGTAAGTAAACAGCCGAATTCCGGGAAATGGTTCTATGCGTCAAAATAAAGAGAAAAGCAAGAATAACATTTTTTTCCAAAATCGCTTCTTTCTATTCTTTTTTTCTATTCTTTCTATCTGCCATTTTTTTTCACATTTAAAATGGGGTAGAAAAAGGTTGAGCTAGTCAGGTTTGCCCCATTTTAGAACTAAAAATTGTAATATTTCAGCTATTTCTTATTCAATCTTTTTTAACTTGGTATAACTAAAAAAAGTGTTCTTGATATTTTATCATAAAATCAGCCATTTTGTAGTCATTTAAGTTTAAAAAAAATAAAATGGCCACCATTTTAAAATCATAAGCTAAATCAAGATGATTTTTTCCCTAACATGGGTCTCTTCCACCTTAACATACACACCAAGATTCATAATGATCGACTGAAAAACTTTAAATGTGAAAAAACAAAATGGTAGATATCGGGTTAACAAAGCGATTTTGGAAAAAGTGTTATTCGTGATTTTCTCTTTATTTTGACCCATAAAACCATTTCCCGGAGTTGCGCTGTTTACTTACGGGACCCATTTAGTACCGGGGGACCGAGCCATGGCTCGGTACGGTATTGGTATAGTTTATTTAAATTTTTTGAACAAATATAAAGGGAACTAATTCTGGCTTTTATAATTGAAGTTTCAGTGCAATTTCAATATCATGATGGAAATTTTTGCCTGGCAATCCACAATACTTTAATTTATTTTACAGTCGATGAATTTATTTTTCATTTTGATGTCTCCAGAGGCACCATTTGTTCAAATTTATATATATGTATGTGTGTGTGTGGACACGATAACTTGAGTAATTTTTGTCCGATTATGATGAAATTTGGTTTGAAGGTGTAAGGTGGGATAAACTTAAATGAATTCGCAAACCAGCATGATCGGACTATGGGAACAGGGTTTTACGGGGAGTTTTATGCAGTAAAAATTGGTTTTTCTAATTTTTGACCCTCTAAACACAAAATTTCCCAATTTCTCTCCAGACCTTTTTAAAGAGCTTAAAAAATACATAAAAAACAAATAATTTAGTATATCAAAGTGTTTTTTTACACTTATTGGTTAGGGAGAAAATTCAAAAAATTGTTTTTTTAAAATGCCCATGTTATTATGGATAATATTTTAAAATGTAGCTTGCTTGTTTATGGATATATTTAGATCAAACTTCGTAAATTTATTTAAGTTATTAATATTTTACTAAAAAAACACACTTTTTACCCTCCATGTAGCAGCAAGCCTAGGTACTCATAAAGCCTAATGTTAATTAAATACATTTAATTGTAATTAGGTTAAAAACCTTCATGAGACAAATTTATTTGTAACATGGGCTAGGACTGATTAACCTCTATAAAACGAATATCCTTAGCACATAACCTCTATAAGACAAATGCGACCTCTATAAGACAAATTTCTCGTGATCTTAATCTCCATAGTATGTTTTCAAAACAAACCGAAGCTTGTCTCAAGATGAAAGTTGAGACCCCCACCCATTCCTCTTCCTTCCTTAGTCATTGTTTGGCTCGTGCCTATGCAGAGGAGACGCCTCTATAAGATGAATAAAGGCAGTATTAAACCTCGATAAAACGAAACTCTTTTTAAGAATACCTCAATAGTACGAATTTCCCCCCAACCCTTGAAATTTGTCTTATAGAGGTTCGACTGTGTATAGGATTTCCAATTTTCTTGATCCATTATTTTTAGTTTTTGTTATAAAAACTAAAAACCCAATATATTAGGCTTTATGAGTAAAAAACCAAGCTTTCTTTTACAACTTATTTGCAAGCATAACTTGATTAAGTGGCTGGAGACTATGCCTGTCATGACTGCAACCTAGAGGCGCTTGACATGTATGTTGATTCCTCCAAAGTGAGGAAACAGTAGATCCAGGGTTTGAATCCTGTTAATTTGTCAAGTCTGATGTGGATCTTGTGAGGAATTCACCTATATGTACCACATATATGATGTCTGCAGTTAAAATTTGGCAATCATATGTTTTAAGGGTAAAAATTTGAAAACCTCATTTTTTACAATTACTTTATAACACCCTGTTCACTTTACCCGATCTTGCTCATTTGCAAACTCTTGAAAATTAATCAATCCTTGGATTAATGAATTAATGAAAGTTAATGAATGAATTAAATAATTAATGAAAGCCTTTATTTCTAGGAGTATTTTAAGAGCAAGACATATAAAATGACTAAAAAAATGGAGTTATGTATCGTTGATTGCAGATAAGTCCTAAAATAATTATAATTATTGTTGATTTGTGATTCAGCAGTTTGTTTCAGGTATGTCCGAGCTGGAATTTCACTAAAGGTTCTTAGACCAAAACATATAGGACAATTGAAGTAGAACTAGTGTAGTATACAACTTTAATTTAGGTAAGAATTCGCAAAACAATCAAATTTATGTTTTTCCGTTGAGTAATACATTAGATAAATTAATGATGATGCTTGATGGCATAGTTGTGCGTGCATACCTTTAATTTAAGACCAAAATTATGAAAACTAGTCGGGTAGAAGAGCCAAACGAACTCATAAAAGAACAACCAAATTTTACTCCATAAGAAATGTAAAGGAAGGAAGTTCTTTTGTGCATAACTCAAAATATATACGTCAGATAAACAAATGCCGATGCTTGATGGCAAATCTGTGCGTGCATACCTTTAGTTCAAGACCAAAATTATGCAAATTGGTCGGATAGAAGAGACAAACCGACTCGGAAAAGAAAACCCAATAATTGTTTGTATATATTATTATATATAGATTGTTTAAATTATATTTTTGAATTTCTCAGTTTTAGAGACATTGAGCCGATTTGGCAAGAGGATACCCTACTGTAGTACAAACTGTGATCTTGTTTCTACTTTACAGTACCCTTTTGGTAGTGAATAGTTCTCATAACATTTTTTTTTTTCATAATAGTTAGCTTAATGAGTTGTTTGTAATTTTAATATCAATATTATCATTAAATTGTTATATGTTTTACACTATTTTGTAATCCTTAGACGGTTTAACAACATTAAATTTACTTGTTACTTTTTATTTGTAAAATAACAGCAAACGCACTGCTTATTGACATGTTACTCAGTATTGAGTCACTGTACAATGTAACAATAATAATTTACTTACAATATTATCTAAATGTCAAAGACCGTGGAACTTCTTAGTTTGGGAATAGCCAGTATTTGAACAAGATCGAAGCTGACTAACTGGTAAACATCAAATATTTAATGCAAGTTGAAGGAAAAGTTCCATAAAAATAAACACAGAGAATGTAATTTTAATTATTTGCGGTAAACATTGATTCACACAACACGGATAAGGCCAGTGCTGTAATATTACTTCACCATTGTTCCATCTACTGTGTACAACACATAACAAAGCAAAGTAAACCTCCTCGTTGAGGAAAGTTTAGGAAAAAAAGTATAATTGAGCAGAGCGAAGCGAAGGTCTTTGGGATCGGCAATGCAAACTTTCTAACACTATGACTCATTAATGGCTAAACATATTTTAGCCAAACTTACCAAGATTGTATCAACAAATGTTATGAAGGTTTGAGGCAAAACTATTTCTATTTTTGATAATGCCTAAATACTGCAATTTAAAAGTAACTTACTTACTTGATACTTGAATACTGCATCGGTGACCAACAAAGTCGGAATGGATTGTGTCACATATAATAAATACTACTTTTTCATAAAAACTAACTAAGATGGCGGCGGGTTGCCAAAAAGTGATGTGTCGTCCAGCTCACTTTAGTTTTTAAACTTTAATATTGGTCTTACGGGTTGCCATGGCTACAAAATAACAACAATATACCCCTGCCGCAGCAAACCTGCTGACTAAGTGAATTTCTATTTGTCTGAATTGATTTGAATTAAATCAACTTAAGTAACATTATAGGTTTAACGAGTACCTAGGTTTGCTGCTACAAGGAAACTAATCAAGTGTTTTTGTTTCTTTTTTGTAAAATAATAATAGCTTAGTATAAAATAAATAAATTTGCTAAGTTTGATCAAAATATATCCATAAACAAGCAAACTACAACATTTTACAATAATCTCGAGAGTAAGAATAACATGGGAATTTTTAATTTATATTTTTTTTCTCCTTTACCAATAACCGTACAAAAACACTTTCATAGTTATATTATTTGTTTTTTAATCTCTTTAAAAAGGCCTAGAGAGAAACTGGGTAATTTTGTGTTTTGAGGGCCTAGAATGGGAAAACCAATTTTTACCCCATAAAATCTCCTGTAAAACCCCATTCCCATGGTCCGATTATGCTGGTTAGCAAGCTCATTCAAGTTTATCCCGCCTTTCACCTTTAAAGCAAATTTCATCAAAATCGGACAAAAATTACTCAAGTTATCATGTTTACGGACATATATATATATATATATAACATGCAAGAAAATAATACATATATATATATATATATATATATGAAAAATTGAACAAATGGTGTTTTTGGCCTCTGGGGACAGAAAAAGTAAATCGGTCCCAGGTCCTGGGTCTTACCGTGCCACCTACGGTAATAGACTACTTCCCTATAGGGAAATTCGCTAAAGCAAAAAGAATCATAGCATATTTTTAAAATCAAGTCAATATACGACCTAAGCACAGTACAAAGGATAAAAGATAAATAAACAATTATTAAAGGATAAAAA